ACACTTCAAAGTGCAACAAATTGGACGCATGTTATAGCCACCGACACTGCCACTATTGCGACGGAAACATCCTGCCCTCCTGAGATGCTTGTGCCCCGAAAGCATTAACAGAAGCAGCGGCAAGAGGCGATCCCGGTGATGTCTGCACTAATGTTACATTTTGATTCACCTGCTGCGGAGGTAGAAAAGAAAAAACCGAAGAACACGCCGGCGGGATGAAATTTGCTCCTTGATACACAGGAGCAACTGGACTAGCGAACAGAACAGGCTGAGAGCTGTTATCCGCGTGTGAGACTATTGACATTGCTTGAGGCACCATTGTTTCACGCTCCTTGGGTACCACAAGCGGATCTCCACAAATACCTATCCGATCAGCACTGCCGAGGGAACTGGTGCCCCGAAAGGTGTGTCGAATTCCATTACCAGCAACTTGACCTGCTTGGGTGTTCAAGTTTGGTAGCTGAGAGTTGGAGGAAGCCGACGTCGGGCCCTTTCCATGAGGGGGGCCCGACGGTAGGCCTGGGTTGTTGCCGTATGTATTATATATGAGGTTGGTCTGTAGTGGAAAGATAGTTGGGACTCTCTGTTGAGTCATGGATAAATTTGGAGGGTCAACACTGGCCGAGACGCTGGTAGTCGCCCGAGGGGCATTGATGATCTCGATGCCTTGTTGGCGGCTTAGAGGTGGAAGAGAATGCTGCGCTTCTGGATTCACTAGTATGCCCTGGATGACATTCATCTGCGCTGCGACTGGCCAAGAACACGCTCCCTCAGGCTGCGCAAAGCTCGACTCTGGCAGCTTGAACGTAAATTTGTCCCTTTCTGCGGCTTCCCGACATGCCTGGATGGCGGATTCGACATGCTCCTCCCAGATTGCTATTATTGAGTCTTCAATGCTGGACTGTCGATTTTGACTAGCTTCTGGAGATTCCAATGCTTGTCTTACCCGACGTCTCAGATCTTCGCGAGTACTGCTACCAAGGAGGTGCGCACGTACTTCCTCCCCTTCTAGGGGCGGGACGAAGTCTTCGGTTTTACTTGTCAGTACTCTTGGCTATTGTATTCACAGAGAAGACACAACTCCTCAGCTGCATCTCGTAACGGGAGAACGTCCTGGATCTTACCAGCCTCCGGTATCACAAGATCGTCTGGGAACAGACAGCGCCATAGCCCTTCCCAGGAATCAATCTTGCCGTCTGACTTTCTTTCATTTAGGCATTTTTGAATTTCAGGGGTGATGCCGTCTTCTGGGTTGGGATTGCACCGCCTGTAGGTGCATATTTCCTCTTCCGAAACTGCAAGATGTTGACCCACTTCTTCCATCGACCCCATCGGCTGCTTGCAGCGTGGGCAGGTAGTGCTTCTTGGACCATGAATATTTTTGATATGCCTCCTGTCCCCAATTAGCCCGAATAACTTTCGAAGAAGGTTTAGTGGGATCTAAAAGGAATGCCATACTTGAGCAGAGACATGGTTGGGAACCAGCGGGTGGCACAGTCACGAAAAGAACGGACATTAAACCGGAGGGGGTTTCTCTTGCGGAATGGGCAGCTGAACAAATGCATCGGAGAGACTTTTTGCCTTTTCCTAGCCCCAAATTCTCTGCCGTCCTCAGGGTCATCCTCACTTTCTTCTCTATTTGAATCGTTCTCGTCTCCTGTTGCATAGCCTCGGCCGTCATTGTATTGTCTATTCGCGCCGCCCCTTCCTTCATTGCGGTTGCTCCTGGGTCTTTTACCTTCCTCGGGGTGATTAGAAGCTTCACGGAGTGCGTTCTGGGAAGGCCCAGTTGCCCCCTTGGCGGATTGGTGAAACGCAAAGTCGACATCGCTGTATTTATCGTTGACGATTATCTCAGAAAGATCGTCTAGAAACCACACAAAATATTCATAGGCTACCCCGGCTGTGCCTGAGGCGGCTAGATCCTGAAGCGAGACATCGAAAACTTCCTTTAACAACTGGTTGAGGAATTCCCGCACAGGACCGCTTTGTTTATACCTAGGCAGCAGTCTCGAGCAACTAAACTCTCGGAAGGCAGGGACTACACCTGACTCATCTGGTAGCATACTGTCCTCGTCAGGGGTAAGAGCTCTGTCCTCAAAATCTGAACTGTCTGTATTGTCCACATCCTGTACCGTCACTGGCGTTGGGTTAAGAGCTGGCGCGCGGGACTTGTCGACAGTAGAAGCCGCATTAGTTTCACCCTTTATCTCAGCAGCTGGGCTGGCAGGATGGTCACTTTTGCTGGGAATCTGAGGTTGGTCAGGCATGGAAGGTCCCGCTTGCCTAAGAAGTAAGAATGTTGTTCTTGGTTCAGGTGATGGTTGGAGTAGTTCTTTAACAGCCGGCTCCCTGGCTGGGCTCGATGCTCGGAACATCCTCTTCAGAGGATAGGAGTGCGAAGGTGGGCACTTATCGTGACGAAGGGCCAATACGGTAGGGTGCTGTAGTAAAGGACCGTGATGGCGAGTTGGCAGTTCCGTGTCCTCAGCATCCAGTTCTTCAGGCTCGGTAACATCAGTCGCAGCAGAGGAGTCTGCCACCGAAAAAAGGGTAGCGGTTCGCCGTAAGTGAAATTCGGATATGCTGCTTTCGATGGTGTCCGCTCTCTGAAGGGGTTTCTTATCCAGGAAACTGGCACACACTCTCTCCATTGAGGTGCCCTCCTCCCAAGATTTGGCAGGATCTGATGAATGCAGAGGTATGTCCTTCATAATTGCCGTGACATGATCTTTTCGCTCCCCGGAAGATAACGAAGGATAATGAAGTGCAGACGGGGATGTCCCTGTTGATAAAAAAGCCTCACCGGCGTCCGATAGGGAAAGCGTTTGTTGCGAAGTGTTATCCATAGTCAGGAAATATGAAGTTGGAGGTGCAGGGGCGTAAGCAACAGGGCCTGAGTGGACTTTGGTTCTCTTTTTTTGAATTTAATATATCGGGAACTGGCGTCACGTGTATGCACTGGTGTGGTGATACCAACCAATGACTACTACCCGAAGATTCAGCCTAGATAGTTGGAACAAAGACGATGAAAGGCAGACTTAAAGGCGAAGCCTCCGACTTATCTTGTGAGTGCTTAAGATCAACCATAGACAGAATGCGTGCCACAGGACTGCAGGCTGCCTTGTAGTATAGTCTCAGCAGCCTGGGATGCACTTTGATCAGGGGAGGTGGTTAGGCAGTGCACAAGGCTCTCTCTTATTGCAGCTAGATATAGAAGCTGAGTGATCATGAACTTACAGCTCAGTTTGGCTGTTCGAGGCGCGCTATTTCCAATAGGGTAGGGAGTCACACCATCAGTCATTGCCAGCAGCTCACCGAACCAGGATATTACAGGAGGACGTGGCATGTTTGTTTAATTCCTAGTGGCTCCTTTGAACATCTGCAGCTCGCGATCACTTCAGTTTGCCCACCATCATTAGTCACGAGACCATCAATTGGGAGTAGGGACGATGACTTGATCAGCTTCTACTCAAAGACTGAAGCAGGAGGACTTGCCTCAGTCAATCGTACGGGTAAAAGGTGACAGACCGTAAGGATGTGTTTCTACTAGTTAAAGAATGTCTCGTACACTTCAAGGCTAGAGAGAAAATCAAATCGAAGACAAGGGCGGTTCTGAGATGTTTCCTATCAAAGCACGACAGACTTAACGGACGCAGAAACAAGCCATGTGTTTCTGGAGTGCACTGCAGAATTCCATTCCCGGTTGCCAAATCATAGGTAGGTTTCAATAATGGGTGACTATTGTGCAGAATAATTTGATTTGAGCGAGAAGTATTCAGTAACCCCTGCAGCTGATGCCGCTTTGAGCACAAAATGGAAACATACACCAGGATATATGTTGGATAAATACAATGGTATTGTAATTTACCGCTAACAGCAGGCCGCAGTATGCAAGCGCAGGCTGGAGAGTAGGCTTCAGCTCCAGCCAAGGTGGGCCCAAAGCAACATCACATCTTAGAATCTCAACTCCAACTGACCGAGTGTCCGGCAGCTCAGGGACTACAACCGTTGGCGACTTTCTACACCTCTTTCTCCTCCTCTCTGGTTGCACAATACTCTCAGTGTCCTCTATATAACCATCATGGCTTCTTGCACAATGCTTGCCTTCAACTGGGCAGTCTCCCTGCTGCCATCCTCGGCAGAAAGGAGTTGAGTCGCACTCCGATGCTTGGAGCCGCCCAGTTCCAGGTCTCGCAGCACTCGACACTGAAATTTCATAATGTATGCTTATTTTCTTAGCATATATGATGTCCTGTGCCCGGGCATATAACTAGGTAAGGCTCTCCAGCGTCCCTCCGCGAGGCATTCCTCATCCTCAGCAGAGCATCAATGACCTGAGACAAAAACGTCCAATTCTGTGGTTGTCCTGCTGACCTTGAAGCCTGCTGCACTCTTCATCTCTTCTCTAGACTCAACTCCGCGAGGCCTGCGGCTGTCTAGAACAGAGCTGCCTGCTGCTACTCGCATCTCTATGGCGCTCTTCTGCCTCCTCTCGTTGTCAGTGATTCCATCGAGCTTGAATTGCGCCATTGCACGTTCCGCTCACCGTACCTCATTGGGATAGTGGGGCCTCGCAGGACGCAAGTCTGCTTATGTCACAGCAGCCTGCAATGCAGGAAACTGCCACGCTGCACATTTCGGTCGCCGTACCGCCCGCCCATCGTTACCATCCTGTGTTTGGCCCTTTGGTCTTGTCGCGCGACACCAAGCCCAGCGGGCCTGCCCTTTGGACGCAGCACCAGCAGCTTCCAGGCGTTGAATTTTTGACTCGTCAACAACACCAACCATCGCGATTCCGGCGCCTCCCACCAAACCATCCCCCAACTCCACATCGTTCCCGCGAATCGCATATCGTCGCGTTGCCAGCTCGTGCCTGCGCGTTACGCAGAAAAATTCATAGTCGCGTATTTATTCTCCGCCCGCTGTAATTTTTACGCCCTGTCTCGATCACCCCGCGCGTCCACCTGCATCTGCGTCTGTATTCCAACATCGACAATATGGCTGGCGGCAAGGGCAAGTCTTCGGGCGGCAAGAGCTCCGGCGGCAAGACTTCGGGCACCGACGGGCCTAAGAAGCAGCAGAGCCATTCTGCTCGTGCCGGTCTGCAGGTATGTCGCAAGACAGGTCCTGAAATGGGGAAGTTCGGCGTTCTCTCCCACCCCTTCGTTTGCTGCTTGGTCTCTGCCGGCGCGTCCAGTGGCAGTGGGGTTTTCGCCTGAAACACGTGTCAACAAACACCTTCAGAGCACATGGTATCGTGGTATCCGCGATCAACCTCCGCTCTGTCACATGCGCGTGGTGATGGCAGATGGCTTGCCACGATCCTTCTATCCGCTCCGCGTGTTTGGGTGTGGTCTTGACAACCCCGCGACGGCAGTCGTGGTCACCGTCACCAAAACATCTCCCCAATGAACCATGTCTTCGTACAGCTCAGTTCCGTTTGTAATGCACAAACTGCTAACCCCGCTTTTCATTTCTAGTTCCCCTGCGGCCGCGTTAAGCGCTTCCTGAAGCAAAATACACAGAACAAGATGCGCGTCGGTGCGAAGGCGGCCGTTTATGTCACCGCGGTGTTGGAGTATCTTACCGCAGAGGTCCTTGAACTCGCTGGCGTATGTACCCTTCTTGCTACCTCATGGCCACGGCCCCAGCTTGTTTTATACTCTCGGCTAACTCTTACCTCCCGATAGAATGCTGCCAAGGACCTCAAGGTGAAGCGCATCACGCCCCGCCACCTCCAGCTTGCCATTCGTGGTGACGAAGAGCTCGACACATTGATTCGTGCCACAATCGCCTTTGGTGGTGTGCTTCCTCATATCAACCGTGCTCTTCTACTCAAGGTTGAGCAGAAGAAGAAAGCCAAGGCTGCTGAGTCTTAAGGTTGAGTGTCGGTTTGGTTGGCGAGTACTTGTGTGGAGGCTTTGGGAAGATTTTCAAACGCATACCCGGTGTTACAAATGATGACGAAACAGACCTAACATTCAGTGGGATGGGGTCTACCCGGTTCCGTACCGTTTTCCTTCTCTTAATTCTTTTTCATGTTTTACAGCACTGCTCCCCTGAGACCTACCTGGGCTTGAACTCCCTACGTCATTTTTAAAAAAGGGCCTTCATATTGCCTAGCTTGGTCAATTAGACCGGCCATGCAGACTGGTCGTGGATACGACCTCGAGACTAAGTTGAGGGGTAGCCCAGAGGGTTGGTCAGGGATGGAAATTGGGCAAGGGATCTGGTGGCTTTGGGGGGTTGTTGTTGGGTTCAGGTATCTTTGTATCGAAACATCACTGTGTCTCTGGTGATACCGCGACGAGCGATGGGAAGTAGGAGAGTCGAAGGGCCCTGGATGGCTGGTGGTTACATGACTGATGCGAATAAGAAGGTAACGGTTCTAAGGGATCGGGGCCGTCTGATGTACAATGTGCTGTTTTTGCCGATCTCAGTTTGGTCTACTGGGATGAGTGTGCGGTACATCGGGAAAGTTGCCCCCTATTACGTATCATGGCAGCATGTCCGTATAGTTGTCCCCTCGGTCATCCTACCTGGGTCAAGTAGGTTAAATGTCCAGGCATTACCAGGTAGCCGCAAACCAATTCGACAGGTCGAGAGAAAATGAACAGTGTCAAAAACATTCTAGCGGACTACATACACCGTTTCGGGAATCATAGCAGCATCGGTTTCATCCATTAGGCCCGCTTAGCCTTTTGTCCAGTCTCTTCTGTGTTGTTTACTCCTCTGTGATGCCAAGAGCAGTGACCAGGCGTTCAAGCCTTATGATCAGCTGTTTCAGACCCGTGTAGAGGAGAGAGCTTTTACTGGTCGACGCAATTTTCCGTATTTTCCCCTGCTTACACTAACCGCAAGATGGTCGAGCATGCTGCTTAGCTAGAACAGTCTAGTTACCGCACAGACATCCATATAAGCCACTTGGAAAAGTATATCGAGATCGTTAGGTAAGACTTGGTATCCTTTATATTTCTTTTTTTTTTTTTTGCGCATGCTTGGGATCACTATGTGCTAGACACCAAGCACACTCGAAGATCTTGTAATCGCTAGGCTGTAGTAACGCAAAACTTTATAGTAGGGGCTTACCATAGACCCAAAGCCGAGGGTGACACATATAGCTTGCAGAGGCAAACTGTGTTATTGGAATGTGTCCAGAAAAGGAGCCAGCACAAAACATATATGTTTGAAATGCTATTCCAGAATATTGCTCAGGTTCAAATGCTTGAAGCAAATGAGCCCAACTATAGATAGGCCTTGGGTGAACTGAACTGCAAATGTCTGCTTTTGCTACTAAGAGTTCGATGAGTGATTGGCTTTTTGAATATGCAGGGAGTGTAGTCATCGTTCAATCTACCGGAGTCTATGTGGAATTATTAGTCGAATATGGACAAGTTAGGGTTACACAGGTATTACAGGTGTAATGTTTGCATCCAAAACAGCCCAAGTCTCTTGAAGGCATGGGTCTATTGGAGACACCTTACATGCTTTTGATTATCTGCATTGCGGGATGCTACCTCGCTAAGTCCGTAGCGACCTTATGAGCATCAACTGATACAGATAATGCCACTGCATTACAGACCAATACCGGTGAGTTCCTCTGAGGACCAGTCTTTTCACTTACTTGATCGAGATTTTTACGTGCGACCATGAAAAGGCAGTAGGGACGAGAACTCTTCTAAACTGAGATCGTCAATCTTCATATACATGTACTATCAATAATCGTTTCAGGTAAGGATGCATATATCATTGAACGATGCAGCCTGGTCGGCCAAAAGATACCCCCGTAAGTGATGGACTGGTCTACCAGAGAACACGAGTTGCCCCATGTGGATGGGGAATGATATTAAATAAGGAGAAACAGTGGGCCTGCGCACGTGAACGGCGAAGAGCGTGTCCAGGGCTTCTATTCGCGACAAGTGCGCCGATGTAGCCTCATACGATAGTTTAATTGTTTCGTCCAGGAGCTGTGACAAGATGATGGACCCTGATGTTGTCGTCAAGGTCAGCTCCTAATTATAGGAGTTGATAGGCATGACCGGCAGCTTGTGTGGATCATCCCCTACAGAACACCACTTGCACAACGGATTAGACACTGCAATGACCAATTCGAAGATTGGAGCTTGGTCAGGAGGTTCACACAGAAGCAGGGAGCGGGCTCCCCCTGATTTAGCGTTATGGAATGCGCAAGCCCTTTGGGTGATCCACACAAAGCTATCCACGGGGACGCTACCCGAAGGTTCGGAGCAGGTGCAGGTACTCTGCTTGTGCATTGGGGAGCTTATGGTTCTGCATGCTCATTGCGATCACCAAGTGATGCTGCAGTGGCGCTTAAAGCGACGATTTTCCCAGCAGCACCTCGGGCCGTTTGTCGCGTCAAAGCTGCCACGGGCTACCGCAAACCACAACCGGAGTCATGGCCGTAACGCGCTTCTGCGGTCACGGGCGCGATCTGCCCGACAAGCGCGTCGGGACGTAGCAAACTGCCAGACGAGGAAGAAGAAACGCGGCGGACACGATCCATTATTTCTCGAACGGGACTAGTGCGGGTGGGGCAGTAGGCACGCGGGCAACGGGCGATGTTGAACGCAAGCGCTTTGGCTCCGGCAGCCGTTGATTCTCTCCAACCTCATCAGCCCTTTTTAGGCGCTTGGGGAAATTTTTGGCCAGGCGAAGGCAGCCCAACGGGAACACGCAGCTTGACCCCAAGACAAGAACGCCCGAGCAATGCCAATCCGTGTCTTACTGGCTATCTTGATAAGTACTGTGTACTTGCTTATATAGGTAATTACATGTATTATTGTATATAAGTTGACTCTAACCCTGATTTCCACCATTTTGTCTACCTGTATGGTACTGGCAGCTTGTGCTCTTTATGAATGCAAGTAATTCACAAGTGATGACAAACCGGAAGCCTTGACCAAGCACGCTGACAAGGGAGGCGGACAAGCAATCGACGAATCCACAAATCCACAGGCCAAAGGCCTCTCCAATCTCCAGGGTTACCGAACGGGCAAAGACTGGACCCAGCCCGGTGGATCTTCGCCCACAAAAAAAGAGGTTGTTCGCATCAGACCGCCCTCCCGTTCCCTTTCGTCCCGCCGCCCCCCCTTGAGCTTTCTGACAGGCACAACCCGCTGCCGCCGCCAGTTACTGGACAAAACAGACCTATCTGCTGTGCAGCGTTGCTTCCTTCCCATCCAACATCCAGCCCAACGCACGCGAGGCAGCTCCCCCTTCTTGTTGTCTTCCATTCAGCTCTCCTACTCGAAACCTTTCATCATTCATCGCCGGGCGGCCGACGCATCATACTATCGCTGACCGACCGCCCTGACGACATCAACAACGCAGCCCACAGCGACGACAACGACGCAGATGTGATGACCTAACACGTCGCACGCGCATCTCGAATTCTCACCCGGCGTCGATTCTCGTGCTCTCCGCTTTCCCGGAGGCGACGTTCCTGGCCCTGCGCTGTGGAGAGAGACCCGTGACCCGTGTCGCTGCTTCTGTATTTTTATTTTCTGCTCCTGCTCCAGCTCCATCGACGGCTGCAGCCTCTTCCGACAGGTTAAAAAAAATAACGCCCCTCTCCACTCCACGAAACTACACCGTCTGCATCGAGCCTCTGCACACCAAACAGGCGGTTGCTCACATCCGTTGGGCGCTCTAGTCTGCAAGAGTTGACAGTTCTGACGGGAGAAGAGCCCTTCTGCGCCCCTCGCCTGCTACTTCCTCATTTGCAGCTTGCCCCTCGCTGTCTCGCCCTCTCCAACAACCCTCGCGGTCCGCCCTCCGGCTTGTCTGCTTGCCTTCTGCTGCATTTATTGTCGATCTGCCCCTCCACAAGATGAACCAGCAACAGTCCGACCTCTTCTTCCCCACTTATGGCATGAGTTCTGCCAACCGGTCGCCGGGCTCTGCAAGGCCAGGCTACAACACGACTACTGGCCTGCCTGGTGTCAGCCGTCTGCACCAACGCCAAATGGATCCCGTTGCCCAAGCTCCCACGGCCTTGTTTGCCGGTGACGACCGTTTCGCTTCCTACGATAGCAGCGCCTTCAGACAGACCAGGATGCAGCCCGCGCCTGGTTTTGCCGATGGGTACATGGGCAATTCCCAAACCTGGGCTTACAACTCTGGCGCAAGTACTGTGTCTGGCCCGTTGGGCGATGGAAGGCTTCGCCCCGGTGCTCGTAGGCCGCTTCCAGCTGTATGTTTACCCTCGCTAACTAACCACAATTCCGCATCACTTTCTCCCCATCACCTTGATCTGCCAGCAGTACCCTTTTTGCTGACATCACCCCCTTTCTGGTTGCTGTCAGGAGTGGACGATGCCCGAACAGCCCAGTCTGAGCCAGCCACTCACCACGCCATCTCCCCAATATGCTCCTGTTTCCAACTACAACCCACCAATGAATATGATGAATGGCGACGGTGCCTTCACGAACGACCGTCACGGCTATCCGACAAACATGTACGAATCTCGGCATGAACGGCACGATCCTCCCAAAACACTGGGCAGCGACCTGATCCCGACTGCGATCGTGATCAAGAACATTCCCTTCAACGTGAGGAAGGAAATGCTCACCAACATCATGTCGGAATTGGGGCTCCCGCAGCCATATGCTTTCAACTATCACTTCGACAACGGCGTCTTCCGTGGTCTTGCCTTCGCCAATTTCCAGAGCGCGCTTGATACTCAGACCGTAATCGAGCAGCTTAATGGCTATGAGGTACAGGGCCGGAAGCTGAGGGTTGAATACAAGAAGATGCTGCCCGAGCATGAGAGAGAGCGGATCGAGCGCGAGAAGCGGGAAAAGCGCGGCCAGCTGGAGGAGCAGCACCAGCCTATGTCTCTCCACTCGCAGTCGTCGATGCACTCGCTCAACGCTTCTCATGCATCACGGTCGCGAAACTCTCCTTTGCGTAAGTTGTGTCCTGGGCACAGCACCCCTTTTGAAGGGCATCCATTGCTAACCGATTAAAATTCGCATCGCAGGCGACGTCGACCTAAACAACCCGGAGACCCTGAGCTTTTACACGGAGCTGACACTGTTCCGGAGTGATCCCAAGCGCGAGATCCTGGTCTTTCCCAGCAGCATGACGCCGCAGCAGCGACGAGTCGTGCACATCCTGGCGCATAACATGGGGCTTGAGCATCGTTCTGTCGGCGAGGGTCCTCATCGACAGATCCACGTCATTAAGGACACTGCCGCTACACAGTCATCTATGCGCATGCCCCCCGGGGTCTCAGCTGATGCTCACCACAGAGGATTGAGCCGTGCCGCCACCATCGACTTCGCCGAAACCCGGGCAGCCAACACTCCGGGTCAGTATGGAACGTTGAGCCGCCAGGGTCGCCATGGTCCAACTCTAGAGTTACCCGATAGCCCTGATGGCGGCTTAAACGCATTGCGCGGCGTAAAGTCGTTTGCCGATCTGCGCTCTTACACGCCCAGCCCGTCGCTTTCTACTACTTCGGGGTACCCTCAAAGCACTAATCTCCATGGGCCAAATGTGGCTCAGTTCGGCGAGTACAGCGCTAGTCTTAACCAAACCAGTTCCTTAACATCTAGCTCCTTGACCTCGAGCTCGTTGACAACGCCGACCACTCCCGGCACTGCATCTAACACTGACACATCTATGCTCATTTCTGAACTCGGCTCCCTGTCACTGAATGAACCTTTCAGCAGTCGGCTTCGCCCACGAGAGACTCCCGGCGCAATTGGCAGCCAGCGCCCTGGCTTGAATGGGTCCAATACACGCAGTGTCCCGGAACGGCAGCCTCATGGTCCCAACGGGGATTGGTCCGACAGCATAGGTTTCAGCAGCAGAACCCGTAGCAATGGCCACTCGCAACGAGGAAGCGGTGCGTGATTGTTTCGATCTACAGACAATTTTGGTCGGCTTCAAGAACTAACACAGAGATCCCAGACTCTTCAGACAGTGGAGCGCGCGCGGCCTCTGCTTCGAGTGCTTCGCGTTTTCAGTGAACACGTGCTGCCTGCTTCTGCAGATACCCAGGTCAATCGACCTCGCCGATTTGGCCGCTCCAACAACGACCGGGACAGCTAGGCTCTTTGGCGGTTTGCCACATCGTGGGCTCTTTCCGATTCTTCGGCTTTCAAATTTTTGTGCGAGCGTCGATCTGCCGATTCCTCCCTTGGTCATCCGAGTAATTTTTCTGCCAATTCTGCTTGGCTACCCACCTGATAACTTTGCCTATGGCCAAAACCTTCAGGAGCCATCTGTTCAAATTACGCTTGAGCTGCAACGCATCCAGCTGGCCAAGATATCGTTTCTGCAATCATCTAAAATCTGTCGATTCAAGACGGCATGTAATATTTTTACCATTTTTCGGAATCAGTCGTGCATTTATCTCTTTCTCGTCACTGGTTTCTATGAAGCCTATTCGGCTTTTTCCTACCAGCAAGGTTGTGTGCTATTAAGTCTACAGGCTCCAGGAGTTTCAAATCAACACTCCATGGGTCAAGAAAGCACTCGGTGCGCGATGTTCACGGTTTACGGACTCTGACGGCCAAAATTTCGAGCCTCATTACTATACCCTCGATGATGACGACGATCGGATGCGAAGAAAAATAAAGACATGGATGAAGATGGATCGGGTAATTGGAAAAAGATTTTTTTTACACCTTGCATGGGCAACCATCTGTCCCAATGGTGTGGCCGGTCTTGGCGAGCTTGGGTGTTGTCTGGCAGTAAACGATATGTGATGCGGCACATTGATCTTTAGTGCTCCCTGCGCTGCAGGTGCAGTCGGCTTTGATCCTGCCTTCTCCCGTAGTATTGGCACAACGGAGAGACAGCACACCCGGCGGCCACCACACTTTTACGACTGTTACGGTGTTACGACGTCACGTCCTAGATGGCTATGACATCTTCGCCTCGGCGGGCTTCCACCATCTTGAGAGCCTATCCTGCTGCGGCAATGACCCTCCAAGCCCCAGCAATGCTCTCTAGCTCTTCAAGATCTTAAGATTCTCTGCCTTTGATCAGGCATGAGACGGTACTTGAGGCTTGGTTTATCTTCCAATCATGTTTTTCAGAGGCCCGTTGCTGGGGCATTGCATGCTCTATTCTTGGAAGAAAAAAGAGATATAAAAAGTACATTGATCTTGTTTTAGGGCCGCTGGACTTTTGTCGGTTACATTTGCTTCTAACAAAGCCGGCCGGGTTGCGCTGTTATCATGTCATATTTTAATATAAATTACGGCCTTTTCCTGTCTTGGGTATCTTTGTTTTCTACGGAAACGGTATCTTCCTCTGCCCTTTCCCGTTTGTGCTCTCAACCCTCCATCATTTTCCACTCTTTCCAAGATGTTGCAGTTGGATGACCCGTTGGCTTTTTTGGGAGTGGTTTCGGTTGTGTTTGTGTTAGTTCTTAGAACCCTTGTTAACTCGATAAAGATCATTTATTACTGCCGGTAAAGTGACACCCACACTTGGTGACCCTCACTCAATCTTGTGAACCAGGTTGCCGTCAAAAACCACCGTGGTGGTGTGAGAAATGAAATTATCGCGTTCAGCTGCGAAAGTGGACGCCGGGCCATTCCATGCTGGGATGAAAGTATTCAAGCCAAGAGCTCCTCTCTCCCATTTGCTTTTAGGGTATCATGGACTGCTTTGAGGACCAACTGATGGAGATGCTTCGGAGCAGCCACAAAGCCAAAGTTTGCCTGAAGTTTCCTCCCTGAGGTGAGATCAATCTGTCTGCCATGCACATCAGTAATCATGCCGCCAACCTCTTCGAAGAGCAGCATAGCGCCGGCATGGTCCCAGATTTTTGCGTATCGATCCCGCGTCTTATACACCCAGACGGTCATATTGGCCAGGCCAAGAGCCATGACCACCCATCTTGGGACCCAGCCGAGCAGATCGCAACCCGGGAATGGCACAGCTAGCTGCTCAGCGACTCCCTTGTGTACGACATCGACGCCGGAGTCAAGAAGCGCCCAGCAGGTGACGTTGCGAAGTTGCTCGGGGGACGTGACCTTCTCGGCATGCCGTTCCAGCCTCCGTGGTTGTACTTCATCCCACTCTCCAGAGAGAGGCCTTACATAAGCTCCGTAGCCGCGAACACCGAACACGATGCACCCTTCTCCCGTTGGATCAATCGAAGAATCCAGTACTGGAGCGGTGGCGGCAACGGAGAGCAAGGGGCAAGCCACAACACTTAGCATCTGTTTCCCCTCTAGTAGCAGGGCAATGTTGATGGCATATTGCTCGCCACGCATAAAAGTCTTGGTCCCATCGATAGGGTCGAATACCCAAATCCTAGACGGACTAGGGCCACTTAATTTAGTCGTCGTACATGAGTCGATGACGTCGCACAAATCATCAGCGTCGCGGAACAGTGAGTCCCCTGCACACTGTCTAACGATGGCGACCACGCGATCCAGTAGCTTGGGATTTTTCCTTAGCTCATCCGCTGATTCCTCACCGACGAAGCCATCCTCTGGAAAGGCATTGCGAAGAGTGCGTGTAAGCACGGCCTGAATGGCAAAATCAGCGACGGTGACGGGGCTGAGGTCGTCCTTGATAAGGTCGAAGGCAGCCGCAGATGGAGCATCGGTCTGCGCAGCTGAAAGGGCCATACGGCTAATATTTGCAGCTGTCTGCGCTGCATGGATGGCAACTTCTAGTTCGAGCCGGTATGGGCTGTCCATGCCTTCCTGTCGGAGCGGCCTGGGTCAGCAAAAGACCTAAGAGGCCGCAGTAAGAGGGCCGGTCTCGGAGGATATCCGACTTCTTGAAAGGAAATAAAACAGTCCTCGATATACCTACAAAGTATGTTCCGTAGATGGCAGGCACACTGCAAGTCTGATGTTGGCTTCTGATGTTGGCTTCTGATATGAAAGGGTTGGTGACAGCGTGGCTTTCCAGAGCATGGAAATGCTCCAGGTGAGGGTCCACATATACATGAGGGGAAATCGGGCATCGTTTGCTAGCGAGCTCGGAAGCATGGACACGCATCTAGTTATATCCACAACGAGATTCTTTGGAACCAACCATCACCTTCTGAAAGTTCAGGCCTGATATGGATTGAAAAGGCCATTCATGTATCAGAAAGCTGAAAATTGCTTCAACGCCAAGGGAGTTCCGTTATCATCATTTGACCAACTTTACCGCCGGTTTGCGCTTCATCATGCTCTTTCCAATACCCCAGGTCGTTGAAAAAAAAAAAAAAGTGAGAAGAGTATCATGGTTTCACGCAGCGGTCTCGACATCTCACCGTATGTCGAGCCAGACCTGATGACGCTTGAGCTCCAATGGCATTGTGGGACTGGACGACATTTGCCAGCTCTCCAATGCTGATTCTCTATGATCCTCTTTTAGAATACATCTTGCTAAGCTGACCGAGTTCACATCCTATATAATTGTCACTGTTTACTCTCATTGATAAAATTGCCCACTCTCGAGCGGGGGAGTAAATGAGGGCGTGAAGGTGGCAGTTTATGTGAGCAGCTGCTTTGTGAATACGCTTAGATGCTCGTACTATTCGCAAGCAAGCTTGCCATGCATTGTTAGGATTCTTATTTTCGGCATATCAGCAGTCTGCTAGCAGCAAGTAACGCACGAGAAACACAGAAAGTGAAGCAAGACTTTCAAGTTGATGGGCAGCAAGTGCCGCGCATTAGGTACTCCCTACACCTCTGTTCAGACTCTTGGCCAACTCACTGTGAGCGCATCAGATGACAATTTATTAGACCGACATATGGCCATAGGGTCTCTGAGTCGTCGTTGCTGAGGCAGAACCACCAACCAGAATCCCACAAAAGATGCCGCTGATATTGATGTGTCTAGCCACAGCTTTCAACACCAACCTTCCACGCTCCCTACTAGCTGCTCTCCCGATATTAGGCTTTACCAGTCATAGTGTACCTGCTGGAATGAAGCGAACGTAAGGTTTGAGCTTCCAGTCGAGTCATTTCGAACCGACTGGTTGGTGAGGAAAATGAGGTTTACTTCGGCAGCCGGGGGTTCTCGTGAACACTTCCAAGGACATTGCTGCCCAACAGTATTGCTTGCCGAACAGAAGCCTGTTTATGATAAGATTGCTGGTGCTATCCAACAGGCTTGACGCAGTAGTCAGGCTGCCAGTGGCGACCTTTCACAAATCATCCTCGCATGAAGGCTCCCACAAACACCTGGTATAGAATGAGATCTCCCACGTCCTCACGGGGTAGGCCCATGATTGCTCCTGGCTTCCACCAGATGATTGGCCGTGTACTGATGTGAGAAAAACATGACGATCCAGCGTGCCGCCGGACTCATTAAACTCCATGCAGAGAAACCTCAATTTCCCCCACAGACCCAAAGATCCCGAACCCGCGAGCGCCGGGAATGAGGGCGATTGGATGTATCCGACTGGCTGCGGCGTGGTGATGGTCTGGAAGTCTATACGTCATTTGGCTTGGCTTTGCCCTAACGTCTTGATTACGCGTGACCGTGTTAAATTCTGAAGATATTACAAACATGGGAACCAACGGCGCTGCTTTTAACCGGTGCCCCCGATAGAATGCTGCGTCGTTTTTTTGGCACCCGCCGCGGTCCCCGGCCATTTTCCGGAGCTCCGACAATTGTTAACTGATCTGGCAGCAGGCGTTAAGTCAAAGGCCTGGGGTACGCTAAAGGTCAATCGTTGATATTTTACCCAAATGATAGAAGGCTTTCGAGATTGTTCCGTAGTATCGGCACTTGCCACTAGCCGAAGCGCCTAGATGAAATCCGGGGCCCCGTCGTTGCCTCGACCAAGAGATAGCTGACCAGCCGGGTTATAGCTGGTGATATTGTATCCAGATTCGACGGCTTGTTGACGGCACTATATATAAATGCCAGGTACAGCATGAGCCCCCCGGCTGTTTTATGCTTCTTCTCTCTTTCATCTCTCCTTCTTCAACTCAATCAATCGCGTTAATTCTTGCTTGCCGTCGAGGCACCAGTGAACCCAACCGGCCTCTCTCGAACTTTAAAACGAGTCGATACCCACAAAGAGAGTGTGTATAAGGGCAGACGAAGGACAAACCGGCCGAGACAACCATCAAAATGCAGCAGTGGACTTCGCTTCTTGCAGCCATTGGGCTGCTCACTAATGGTGTGGGCGCACAGAACATGCTGCGTTTTGCTTGCTCACAGCTCGTTGTTGACCGCGTCGATCCTCTCGTCAACCCGGGCATGCGCTACACTCCCCATCTTCACCAGATCGTTGGTGGCAACTCCTTCAACCTGACCATGACCCCGGTTGAATACGACCTCGCCAAGCGGTCAACTTGCACCTCCTGCAGCTTTGTTCAAGACAAGTCCAACTACTGGACCGCTGTCATGTTCTTCCGAGCAAAGAACGGTTCTTATCACCGCGTGCCCCAAGTCGGCAACGGTGGTCCTCAGGGCAAGCTCATCAACAACGGCGGTCTCGCCATTTACTACATCCCCAGCGGCAGGACCACGGCCTTTGCTCCTGTAAGACTGCCCCTAAGTGTACAATAGCTGCATGGAAAACATGCAAGCTAACTAGACTTCAGGGCTTCCGTATGCTTGCTGGCAACGCTGCTGAGACGGACGACAACAAGGTCAACAGGGGTAACATCTGCCACCGCTGCTGGACGTCGACGAATGAGGACAATTTCGTCGGCGGCGCTCCTTGCACGGGCAGTGACACTGTCGCCATTCCCCAGGACACTCGCTGCAAGATGATCCGCCAGACCATAATCTTCCCTCAGTATGGCTTGAATTGCCTTCAGTTAGTCTTGATTGGGTTGCTAACCAGAATACAGCTGCTGGGATGGCCGAAATCTTGACTCTCCCGACCACAAGTCTCACGTAGCTTATGGCCAGGGCTCGGGTGCCACTGGCGGTGGTCCCTGCCCGTCGAGCCACCCCGTCAAACTGCCACAGCTCATGTACGAAATCATGTGGAACGTCACCAACTTTGCCGACAGGAGCATCTGGCCCGACTCTGGCCCAGCCTTCGTGTACAGCATGAACCTTGGGTATGTCTTTGACGCCATTTACTTGAGGAAACCACAGTGTACATGTACTGACCAAGCTACAGAGGTTCGGCTGCCCACGGTGACTATCTCTTCGGCTGGGAGGGCAACGTCCTGCAGAGGGCCATGGACAACGGCTGCAACCTCAACCGCGATTGCCCTGCTGCTGGTCTCACTTATCAGCCTCCGGAGAAGTACAACGCATGCACTATCAAGCAACAGGCCCCCGAGCCCGTCGACGGCTGTAAGTTCTCTACCGAGGAACTGTTCAATCAAATGCTAACAATCTCATAGGGCTCAAGGCCATGCCCATGGGCGAACCTGCTCTCCAGGCTTGAACTCTCTCGTCCTTCGCTATACACAGGCCGTCATATTTATAATATATATATATATATATATATACAAGCTGTTAACGTTGGCAACAAGCTAGCAGCAGTCTACGGCTTGTGGCAACAGGCAAGACATGGTCTCAACATCACCCTGGCCGCTTTCACTTTTCAAATTTACCGTCGTGAGCGGGGCTCTTGCCACAGCAGGCGAGAAGCCCTTAGCTTCCATTCTTCACGCAAACACTCATCTCGTTATATTCTCATCCCTGTACTGAGCGTCCACCGCGGCCGAGAATTTCATAGCATTGTCATATCTAAATCTATCTGTCCCTAAGCAATGTCCCTCAGACAGTCGCATCTTTCTAGAAAGCTCTTGCCCCATATATAATATATAGAGAAAGAGTGTGCGGTATCGTACATTCTCTTTGTTTTTTTTTCAGATGCATTGAAACGATATAGGATTTCCGAAGAGCCATGCCCCTTCCGAAATTTCCCCCAGATCTTTAGGCCGCCAATATATTCTATTCATCCGCATGGAGATAAGTAAAGGCAGCCATGTGTTTCCAAGTTGTGGTGCGCGCCTTAAACCCGAATAACAAGTGCTATAAGTTGCACCTTGCATATCAACGATTGGCCAGATTTGGATATAAATCAGGAAGGTTCTTCATATATAAGATGCTGGGCATACCACCACGTGCCGCAAACCTGGGAAGAGCCAGCCAATCTGGGGAAGGATGTAGTATTCTGCCTAAACTGCCGATGCCCAACAACCATATGGTAACGATTGAGTTGCAAAATATTCCGGTCGGGGAAACTCCTACTGCTGGGTTGGGATTTGGTGTGCTCTCGTCAGTTGAAAGCCAAGATGCTTGATAAGAGCTATGGACTAGGCGCCGTTCCGCCAACAAGTATGCGAAGAACACTCCAGGCTCTCCACGTCAAAAGTCCGCTGACCACTCATCGAACCACTTTAGTGCCATTTGGAAGAACTAATACCATGTTCATTAGATATCTGTTCTCTTGCGCACAACTCTCCCATAAATTGATATGAGCCATGCACGCTCATACTCCCGGCATCTCATAAAAGACCATGTTATACACTCTTGGGTTACAATGCCAAAGTCCCCAATCCTGGATCCACAACCAGCATGACGACAATGCCCCAAAAAATATGCAACTTCCAGAGAACATTTTGCAACCAGCCCTATTATATCCAGCCGGCACAGGTCCGGCAACACTCACATAACCCTTATCCAATCTCACCAGATTCAAAACGCAACCCCCGAAGACCGTCTCCCAGCCGCCTTGAAGCTGTAACTCATGTACTGTCCATCTGTGCCCAACACATCAAACCTGCTCATTCCAGTGCCTGGATTATCCAGACTGGTTCCAAACCCGCTAAAGTAGTAGCCGATAACCACCACCATGTAGCTCAGCAGCAAGATGCTGCCCTTGAAGTAATTACTCTTACCCTCGCCGTACATGTAACTGAGCAAGAAGACGCACAGAATGACGGTGACCATGTCCCATTGCGGAAAGAGCAGGGTGAACGTGTAGCGGGCCATATCCTCGACGGGCACGCGGAGAGGGTTCACGGCAGAGAAGAGTACGAGGGCAGGGATTTGCAGCAGACAGACCTGCAGGGCATAGGCTGAACCAATCTCCATAGATAGGGCAATGTTGCCGTTCATGGCGAACGAGATGGCGTTGAGGAACTCGGTCGTGTTTGGTACAAGGGCGAAGAGCGTGATGCCGAGGAACTTCTCGTCGATGTCGAAACTCTCGAGCACAACGTCGACCGTGTCAACCAGAATCTCAGCGATGACGGCATAGAGCACAGTGGCGCCCATCAGGATGATGGAACTCTTGAGCCGGCTCCAGTTTGGCGCATCGTGGCCATGGCTGCTGCTGTCAGCGCCCGCCTGCTGCCTGGCAGCATCATCCTGCACAGTTGTACCAGCTCCATGAATTGCAGTCGTTGCGCGGTTGCTTGAGATCGATGAGTGGTGGTGATGACCAGTCGAGCCGTGAGAGCTCAGGTGATGTGACCGACGAGAGCCCTGGACATTCTTCGCAGCCACAGTAGCCGCGGTTGCTGCTATCTCGGTGACTTGATGGACAAGATTACTGTTTTCGGCATCACTGAAGCCAGGGATGCTGATGGCCGGGCCAGGCATATCGACAGTCCCGTAGCTCGTCGGCTTGGGAGGGACAACGTGAGGGATGCCACCGCTGACTGAATTTTGGCGTTCCTGTTCGTCTGAACGACCAAATTGACCAACTTGGCGTAGAGACTGGCCCAAGATGCGCTTGTAAAGATGTGAATCGCGAATATCCGTACCACTGGCGTCGCCAACCGCTGTATCGCCCGGATGACGAGGTGTGCCGTGGGGGTTCACCCCATGATCCTCGTGCCTCTTCTCGTCCGCATCCGTGTTCCAGATGACTGCCGCATGGGTACGAAGAGTGAACCAGAGACCAATGATGTAAGACATGAACAGCATGCTAGCAGCGAGGTAGCAGTAGGGCCGCACAGCTTCTAGATAGAAACGGTCATTGATAGCTGGCGTTTGTGAAAAGTAGCAGCGCCGGCAATCCCTAAGTGCACCGCCTCCATGGCCGGGACGGTCGAAGTTGATGCACTCCTGGCAGGTCAGCTCGTGTGTCCCGTAGATCTGGTAGAACAGGGTCGGACCAAAGGCGCCAATGACAGCAAAGAGTAGCATGGTCGAGGTCACACCAGCCGATTTAGCATTGAAGCGCTGCGTTTTGCGCTTGATGGCGCCGAAGCACATAGATAGACCGGGCAAGAAGAGAATACCGGCGAAGATACTACCGATGATGCTGCCCTCGACCAGCTGGGCCTTGCCCTGTTGCAGGGCGACGCAGTACAGAAACACCTCGACCAAGGTGGAGAAGAAGGCGTTGATAGCAGCGCCGAGACCCATGGATGACTGAGCTGATATGGACGCGACGGCTTGACCGATGAAGTAGGCGAGAGGGATGATAGACAGCAAGCCGCCGACGAAGAGGAAGGCAGACGAGGTCAGAAAGTTGTCAATATGCAGCATGCCATCCAGGACAACCCAGTCAAAGATGACAAAGGCCACAATGGACATGAGGTTAATCAAGAAGACGTTGGTACCGTCAATCGTGTACTTCCAGTATTTGAGACCGGCGGCTCGATACGTGCAGACCAGGATGGAAGACGGGGGCGCCGCGCGGGCACTTGAGATGTCAGACTCAAAAGACAGGGCCAGCGGATGTCGCCGCAGGTGCGAGAACAGCAGCATGGTGACCTTGCCCATGGGGATCCAAAAGACGAGCAGCCAGCAGATAGCTGAGACCACGAACAGCGAGGGTGTGATCAGGAAGTAGAAGAAAGCGAAGAAGATGACACGGCCAGCATTCCACTGGCCGCGGCCAAAGAGGCGGCGCTTGATACGCGGCAGATGATCATCAAAGGTGCTACGGCGGCTCCTACCGAGCAGGCTGTCTGTCTCGTCGACTTCCGAATCCAGGCTTCTCCTAGACCGACCGATAATGGAGCGGTTGCGATCCGGACCGAAGAACAGACGTCCATACTCGAGATCGCCGCTCTGCCACTGCTCGTACTCGCTGATGCTACGGCCTTCGCCCTGGTCTTCGTCCAGGTAGGCCTCCTGTTGCTCGAGACGGACAAACTTGCCGAAGGGATAGAACAGGTAGCCTGCCAGACCCCAAAGAACTCGACCGTACTCGCGACCATTCGATGAACCTGCAAACAAGAAGCACGAAACAGCACCGAAAAAGGCAAACAGTGCCATCCACCAGCCAAATGCCAAGGTCCAAAGGATATTGAAGAACAGCAGCCAGTTGCTGACATGGCCGCCAGGTGAGGAGTGAATATCGCCCTCGGCGTTCCTCTGGACCGAACGAAGCTTCTTGTATAGAGCCGGCTTCCACAACCTGATGCCGAAGGGATGGGTTTGGTTGATGGCCTGTTGGCGGTCTTTCAGGGTGAAGCTCTCGGCATCGCTGATATCAGCAGCTTCGTCAACCGGCGTCCCATCGTCGAGATGGTCGTCACTCGTAGTAATCTCCCCCGTGTCGTCAGGAGGCTCCGGATCGGATGGGCTGACCTCCCCATGCTCGACAAGATCATCGTTAAGAGGGACGCGTGCTCTTGAAGGCATACCAGGCACGGCAGAACGCCGACGCATAGATACATTATAGATTTGTTGCTGGCGCTCAGCAGCATCTGCCTGAACCTCGGCAATGTCGTCGTCAGCTGAGAAGACCTCTCCCCGGTGAGGGGTCTGGGCATTGGTGGAAGTACGGCGCGCAATGGGTGGCTTGCGTGTGCGACTGGCACGACCACGGTCGGTGCCGATAATGGGCGATCGTGATGCAGGTTGGTTTGGCCGCGACACAAATTCGGGAGCTGGAGATGCGACAGTCTCGGGACGGGGACTGCTCACTGGCGCAACAAGACTTTGCAAAGAATCTGGAAAAGGATGACGATAATGTCAGCAGAGTTGGACCAGCGGTAAGAGAAATGATGTGGAGCAGAACTGGAGAGAGGAGGTTAGAAGGGAGGAGCCCACCTTCTTGCAGTCTCTGCACCGATGCCAATTGCTGGACCAGTTGCGGGCTGGGGTTTTCGAGAGCGCGGTCATCCTGGCGGTCAAGGGGATCGTACTGTGAAGGACGACGCGTATCTGTGGGCGACGGATTGTGGCTGGCCGGGTCGTCGCCAGGACGCGCGGACGAAGCCATGGCGACGCGATGGAAGCGTTGATTGGAGATGGATCGAGTTGGTCAGAAGGGATCGCTCTCGATGGTTTATGGGTGTGACAAAGCGATCGATGGTTAACGGTCAGCACGACGTGCAACGTGGGAGTGGGATTGAGGAAAATAAGGATGCTGATGCACAGCGGGATGTGGTGTTCGTATCGGTATTGTAACGGCTACTTTCACTGTCACTGGCATAGCGTGATAAAGCGCTGCCGCATGACCACTTTTTCCACGAAATGGGTTGCCAATCAGTTGGAGCAGCGCTGGCGATTGCCTGCTCTTTAAATGTTGGCTCCGAGTCGTGCTAGAGCAGGACGACAGGGGCGAAGTCGGTGATTTTGGAGCCAAAAGATATCAGAAGGTTGAAGTGGGAAGTTATGTGAGGGGATGGAGGATGATGCGGCAGGAGCCAACAGTCCAACGTCTAACGGCTGGAGCAACAGCAGCAAGCAACAGGGTTGGATGGGTCCCGGGGTCAGCACAGCGCAAGTGTACACATGCTCACCTGAGCCTCGACCCTCGCAGGTTCACACACTCTTACTGAGTCGTCCGGTAGCCCTTCAAGATAGTTCAGGTCCCCCACCGCTGAGCCAAGGAATGCCTGGCAGGCGAAGAGAGCGATTGGAATCTCGTCAAGCCCTCCGGTGGACAATGCCAAACGCAGAAGCGCAAACCGACAGGACCAATCACGTAGAACGAGGCGGACGACGCAGAAAACATGGAACACTGACGCTGCAAGCTTATTTTGGTCGCCTCGATAGGGATTTACAGGGAATTACACATTACGGATGCACACACGCATACCTGCGCATCGCTCATCGTGCGTAGCGCCTAAACCCAGCATTTTACGTCCTGCAGCCTCAAACAACCTATCTTGGTCCGTACCTACATTCACGGCCTGCATGATAAACTTGCGGACGGAACGACAGACAGATGACTGTCATGGTAAATATGACAAGCACCCGTCGAGAGAGCAGAAAGCAGCAGGTTGAGCGGCCGTTCATCTCTGTCTTTCGAGCTCCACGCCAAGCCATCGAGGCGGTTGTTGCATCGAGACCCACAGCAGTCGATCCACCCGTCGCGCTTGATTCCAGCGGATCCCCCAGATCTGACGCTGCCCCACCAACATCATTTGTTCTGTCTCTCTTTATCTAGCGACCAGTCATCGGCTAAGGAGCATCAGCGGGGTACCATCTTGCAGAGTTTCAGCTAACATTCATAGCACCAAAGCTGTAGAGAAGTGCTGGCAATTAGAGCTCTCTGGTTGTGTCTGGAAGCTGCGAGGTTCTTAGAGTAGTATCGAGACCCTTCATGCTCATGTGCCCGTCTGTGCTTGTCAACCTCCAAACCAAGCTTCAAGCTTTCGGCGTGACGTACCGTGTCTGCAGAACAGATTAACCAAGAAAAGATACAGTAGGCTTGAACTAGCTTTAGTAACAACTAGATTGCTGAAGGTTGTTGGACTTTTGCTTGTTCCTGTTTGAAGTTTTGCGCTCTCATTGGAACCCCCGAGGAACACAGGGTCTTGGCGGTGATGTCACCTCCCTCTTTCTGCTTACTTGAGCCACTCAGATATGGGGTCGCCACGACACTAAAGTCACGTGCAGACCTTGTTATGACGGGTCTCTTAGTGGCAAGCAGCACGACACCCAAGAGTCAAAGGTCTGTGGGGGCGTTGGCGCAAGTCATTGGCGGCCCGATGCATTGCGTGGACCTCAGCTGCCTTCAACCTCATTTCAACCCGCAACTCGGGTATCTTTCCCACACTCTCCTCCATCACGACCATCGAGACCCAGCGAAACACTCAAATACTGCCCCCAGCTTTGCGAGCCCTGGCACCGGTAGTCATCCTGCGTCTGTAACGAACCCCACCAGAGCACCAGAATTGTGCGTTTGGGCTGTTCTCGCCGCGCATAGGTATCTGCCAACAGAGAGGTTTCATCACCTTCCTGCTGCTCCAGCTTTCGTCTAGCCAGTAAAAAGAGGGAGCAGCATATATTCGAGTCCGTTGAAGCACAGCAAACTCGCCGAGCAACGCCGTCACCATGGCGCTCGACAACTACTACCAGAATAAGATCGAGGCCATGCGCCTCGAAATCATCAAGGGTCAGGCCGTCCTGCGCCGTCTCGAGGCCCAGCGCAATGACTACAACTCGCGGGTACGCCTATTGAGAGAAGAGCTGGGCCTGCTGCAACAACCAGGCTCCTATGTCGGTGAGGTCGTCAAGGTCATGAGCACGAAGAAGGTCCTGGTGAAAGTACATCCAGAAGGGAAATATGGTATGTCGCACACACCAGCAAGCCCCTGCTTTCGCAGACAGGGATGCTAATTTGTTTGCCTAGTGGTCGACGTCGCTGACTCGGTCGATGTGTCGAAACTCACACCCGGCAAGCGCGTCACTCTTCTTTCCGACTCCTATAAGCTCGAAAAAATCCTGCCCTCGTCCGTTGACCCGCTCGTCTCGCTCATGATGGTCGAGAAGGTTCCAGACAGCACCTACGACATGATTGGCGGTCTGGATCAGCAAATCAAAGAGATCAAGGAGGTTATTGAGCTCGGCTTGAAGCACCCGGAACTGTTCGAGTCACTCGGTATCGCCCAGCCCAAGGGCGTGCTGCTCTACGGTCCTCCTGGTACCGGCAAGACTCTACTAGCCCGTGCCGTTGCCCATCATACAGATTGCAAGTTCATCCGCGTGTCTGGTTCCGAGCTGGTGCAAAAGTACATTGGTGAGGGCAGCCGCATGGTGCGCGAGCTGTTCGTCATGGCCCGCGAGCACGCCCCCAGCATCATCTTCATGGACGAGATCGACTCGATCGGCTCTTCGCGTGTGGAGGGTTCATCGGGCGGCGACTCCGAAGTGCAGCGAACCATGCTCGAGCTGCTCAACCAGCTGGATGGTTTCGAGCCAACCAAGAACATCAAGGTTATCATGGCGACGAATCGTCTTGACATCCTGGACCCTGCTCTTCTCCGTCCCGGCCGTATCGACCGCAAGATTGAGTTCCCGCCGCCGAGCGTCGAGGCGCGTGCCGATATCCTGCGCATCCACAGCCGCAAGATGAACCTGACGCGCGGCATCAACCTGACCAAGATTGCTGAGAAGATGAACGGTTGCTCCGGCGCTGAGCTCAAGGGCGTGTGCACCGAGGCTGGTATGTTTGCCCTGCGCGAGCGGCGAGTTCACGTCACGCAGGAGGACTTTGAGCTGGCCTGCGCCAAGATCCTGAATAAGCATGACGATAAGGAAGTGTCGTTGGCTAAGTTGTGGCGTTAAAGAGTAGCGGAGATTGTGGTTCGACAGGAGGCTTTGGGTGTGGGATTGTCTCTATCATCGGTACCAAGGCAGCCTTGACTGGTACCGATACACTTCGACTGACAACAAGGCTGGGTCTGTCGTTCAAGGCATGGATCTGGAGTCAGTGAGAATGGTTGACATCATGATTTTGTGAACCATGGATTGCCAAGTCTATACCGTGGTCTTTGCTGTACAGTACGTATGACACCTAACTTTGCATCCGCGCCATAATAGACGGGGACGGCTAAATGGCTTGCCCGCAACCTTAAAGAATCTGTATTGTTCCAAGTCTTCATTGTGTGAATGTAAATGGTCAAGGTAGGGATATGCAGAGAACACAGTCGAATGCTCACTTGTAGTGCAAACTCTATGTACAGACCAATGCCCGCAAATTGTCATCTCAGTTCACACCAAGTCTGAGATTAGAAAAGCCTACGGGCAAACTTCTCGCCCAGTAATGTCTATTCCTGCACCAAATGCCTTCTGTTTAATCTAACAATAACGTCCCAGTTCACACTGGACACTTTTAACCAACTCCCGGCCAACAAGTATAACACTTAACCCTGAGATAAGAATGCCGCCCTTGAAGAGAGATGAAAGAAAACAAAACTTAAAATTCGAAACTCTCACTCCGACTCCGTCCTCCCATGGCCGCCACCGTTCCTGCCATCGCTGTCCCATTCTCTTGTTGTTGCAGCCGTGCGATCCACTCGAGAACGGTCTCGTAGCACAGCACAAACTGTCGAAGGCTTTGCACCATGCTTAGCCGCTGGCCGCGGAAGTCCTCGACCGTTTGTGCGATGAGGTCGATGGTATCATCGTCCAGCCAGGCCGTGTCCAGGTCGCCTGTGTCGGTGTGAGAGGTGCTTGGGGTGGCGTTGTCGCATTCAGGGCTAACCCCACTTGGGGCATTCTGCTCAACTTGACCGTCAAGAGAAGCCTGTCTCATATTTTTTGCCATCACGTGCTGCCTCTGGCGCTTCAGCATGTCAATGACAGAGTCGACCGTGCAAAATGTCCCGGTACGGCCGCATCCGGCGGAGCAGTGTACCAGCATCGGCCGGGGATTCGCGTTGTTCTCGGGACCATGGACGTTCCAGTTAGCCGACCGTGTCCAGCTTCCCGAACCTGCTTTATCAGATGCCGGAGGTGCCGATCCGCTTGGCCTACGAAGACCAAACTGCTGCGCCAAAGATACCGAGGCAGACAACGTCGCGGGCACATCAACAGGGAGCGCTCCCTGTTCGATGGTGTTGGCCAATTCAACAAGAGCCAGGAGATGACTCGGCTGCGCAGGGGCGCCAAAATCGGGCCAGGACGGGTAGTGCAGCTGGGTGACCTCGCGCACCTGAGCGGAGGGGTTTGATGTATGGGTGAGAGCAAACTTGCGAATAATGACGTACGGAGTCTCGCTCGGTGGTCCGGCTGACGGGAGGGCAAAGTTGAAGGGTTTGTCGGTTTGGATACCGGACCGCAGCGTCGTCGTGGTGTTAGCTCGCCGACGAGCGTTTTCCGAGATATCCGGAGATGAGCCATGGCTTCCCAGAGGACTAGCACGCGGAGAGCGATGCCTGTCGATCTCCAGGGAAACCTTCTTCTCGGATAATACGCGGAGCTGGATGGGACCAAAGTCATTGCCCTTCCAGTAAGCATCGCATTTTAGCTGCCCACCCTCCGTCTCGGCTGTCAACATGACAATGGTGCGCACGTCTTGGTCCCAAACAACGGACCAAAAGTCCTGTAGATCGTTAGTACTAGTCAACAGAGCGGCAGCGGCAGATGCATACCTCGAACGTCGCGGGCAGAGGCCCCTGAGTGGCAATGTATCGCTTGTTACTCCTCTTTGCGCGAATATGGCTCGCGTTGACGTAGTCACATGCACCCTCAGGGCGTCCCTGGAGCTTGACTCGGGCATGCTCGAACGGCAGAATGTCCCTGTACCGGTTTTTCGTGCCTTTTTCAATACCAGAGAGCTGTACTTTTGGACCGGCAGGCGCCACATTAACATCTCGAGACTGGCCGAAAGAGTAGGCGTCCCGCATGCGTGCCTGCTCGGCAATTTCGATGCGCAGGAACTTCTCCGAGACTTTCTTGCCAGCGTCGCCAGGCTCGGAGGCCTCGCGAAGCCAGCGCGGCAGAGAATTCTGTGCAAGGCCCGGAGGGAGGTTGATTTGGATCTGGCCGACTCCGTCGATTAGGTCCTGATTCTGTCGGATATTGTCGAAGAATGGATTGGAAATGTTTCCTCCCTTCGGGATCAGACAACCACCAATCACCGGGGGCACGCCCGGTCGCGAAGCACCCGAACTGTTTGGAATTGGCCCTAGGGACAGGCTCGGCGGCGGTCCTCCCTCAGAGTGGTCGACGAAACCCGGATAGGCGGCCGCAAAAGCGTTGAAACCCCCACGAAGGATGTTCGTCGAGCCTGTATAGCCTTCATTAGTGAACTTCTTGATCATGTTCACCGACGATATGGCATCGCGCTTGTTGAAAGAGCTCGCATCGTACACAACCAGATGCGTAGTGCTGCGCCAACGAGAAAACTTCTCGCGATCGCGGTCCACCTGAAAGGTCTGTTGAAGCTTCTGCAAGTCAAAGGTAGCTCTCTTCAAGAGAGTCGTAGGGATGCATAAGTTCAAGGCACCACGAACCCGCGACCGCGCAAACTGTGGAGACACGCGGAGATCTAAAAGCAAGACATGAGTGCCGTCATGGTCCTTTTCCAACAGGTCCCTGAGCTCAACAGGGGATATCATGGTAGGGCCGCCAGTAGTCTCGGCTTCCTCTACCAACGACGGCTGATGCAAAGAAGCTGACGACGCGCGGGAGCCGACCCTACTGCGTCCTCCTAAGGAGAGTCCTGAAAGGGGCCCAGAAAGCTTAGAGAGAGGAAAGTTAACACTCTGGCTCCGTGTAAGATTGCAGGCATAAGGACTCGGTTCAGATGAAACAGGAGAGGGCTCATTGGAAAAAAGGTTTGGAGTGCGAATCCTCAGCTGCTCCCCTGCGCCATCGACTTCCTCTTGCTGATTCCCAAAACTAACGCTATTCTCCTTGCTGCTGAGCGAGCTGAAATCGTCGGATGAGCTCTGGGGCAGCACCTGCACATTCTCCGCCACCCCAGGTCTGTGGAACCGGTTCTGGAGGCGATTCCGCGGGAGAGCAAGCTTTTGTAGTGACGGAGCGGAAGCACTTGACGTCAAAGTAAAGGGAGTACCCGACAGAGTGAACGTGGATCGGGTGCAATTTGCCTCAATCTGCCGGCGAAACGTTTCGAACTCGGGGTTCACTTCCACAGGAAGTTGATTCGGTATCGCTGCGCTAAATGGTTTAACTGGTGCTGTTGTCAGACGGAAATTCTCGCGAGTTACGAAAGCAGGTTCTTTGTGGTCCACGTTAGATTCGGTTCCCAGGGAGAAGTAATCCGGATTAGATGTCGCTTGGTATGGCTTGGAACGCTGTCCTGCCGATGGCGATAAAGCCGGCGACGCCTTTGGTTTCGGAAGGACCGATGGAGACCCTGAAGGATCACCCAATCCGCTCAGTCCGCGGGGGCTGATAGCAGGAAGCCGGCCGGGGGTTTTGATAGTGAAGTAGGAGGGTCGTTCGGTCTGGCGTTGTTCAGGAGGCATTTTTATGGGTGATGATGATGGAGGGGTGGATGGTCCGCGGCCGTTGGTCCAATTATCGACATGGGGCTCAGTTGGTGTGTTCTCTTGACTGCAGCCGGTCATAACGTGGCCATCTTCAGGAGGGCACTGATAACGAGCAAGGGTTGTGAGATGGTCAAGAGGGAAATGGTAGTCCGGGACGATTGAATCGAATGTCGAATGTTTGGGGGATTCTTTTCTTTTCAGAAGCAGACAACTATCCGTAGATGACGGTGAAATGGATAAATAATCGAAGACCTATCTGATTATCTGAAATGGGATTCGAGAAAGACTCGAGAACCGCGGCGCGAGCTGTGGATTTGGTGAGATGTGGGGCTGGAGGATGAGGATCAAGTCCGGTGGAGGGCGTGGCTTGCAAGTTAATAAGGAACCCGTAATGCTGGGATCCTGAAATAGAATTGAGATCGCGCGCAATCGACCTGGCACTCGAGGCTTTGTGCTTTCTAAATGTGTGGCGCCCGGTTGTTGTCAGTCTGCGTACCATACAGCACCCACAGGTCAACTCAGGCACGGGCTTTGGGCTTTGGGCTTTGGAATGCTCCGAAGGACACGGTGATGACGGGGCCCCGAATGGCTTCACAGGCGGGGGGTTAATCTAGATGATGGCTCGCGGGATGTGGGGGAGAGCTGAAAGTAATGCCAGTGGCAGTGAAGAATCCTAGGCGCGGCTAGGCTGCTTACTTACCTGCCCAACGTCCAGGACTCCAAGCGAGTCAAGAAAATCCAGACCGGGAGACTCGGGGGCTGAGGGGGAACTCTCTCTGGGCTCCTGGGCTGGGATGCTGCGAGAAACAAGGACTGGAGTATTGTGAGCTGTCGGCTTGGTGGCAAGCGCTGTGTCACACGGAGCCAGGAGAAAAACAAGGACGAGCCGATGAGATGGTCGGCGGCTGCGACGAGCGGCTAATTTGGATGGTCGGCAGCGCTTGATGAGAGGATGAGTAGATAAACGTCCTGGAGAGGGACAGGCTCAGGTTCAAGTCGAGAATCAAGAATCAAGCCTGGGATTGATAGCGAAGTGACAGTTGCAGGCGCGCCGTTCGCCGTTCGCCGAGCGTTCGCGCTTGACCAAACCTGGGCTTCCTCTTTTCTGGAAATGGCCTGTGGGTTCCTGCCCCCGAGACCCAAGCTCTGCGAAGTCAGCCCGCCAGGCGCCAGGTCTAGATGGATGATCCACAGCGCAGAGCCCAGCGAGATGGAACAACCTGCGTAACGGCGGCCCGTTGGCCTGCTTGTGGCCCCTGGGGCCCGGGACCCGCAATGACCTCACTCCTTGGTCTGGGCCGCCTGGCTGCTGCTGCCCCCACATTGGCACACGCGCCAGCCCGTACTCCATTTGCCATCCATATTTGTGATTTCCGGTTGTGGGAGCAACCGTGCAGGCGTAGTGCGAGTTGCAGCAGACAGCGGATGCGCCTTTGTACAATGCGCAATTTGCCTGCGATTTATTCAAGATGTTGTGAGTTGCGAGCATTGTAGTTCAACGCAGATCTACTCGATCGCGGCGATGACCTCACTAGACTTTTTCAACGAAAGGCTTGCCGCTCGGGTTAGCTGGGGGCGACGGGCGTTCGGACGGGCCAAGACAGCATCCATCGCACAAGATTGGTGGGGCACCACTTGCGTCATTAGGGTACTACGCTAACCCACCTTGTTTCCTCTCCCTCCGCGGTGCGGGCAAGAGCGGAAAATTACCGGACGTGTGGAGAGCTCCGCGCCGGCCAGGCCTATGTTGCGGCTTGTAATAAATAATAGCGAAAATAAAACCACGGACAGATACGTTTAGAGCAGAGGGCTCTGAAACTTGTTTGGTCCTTTTACCAGAGCGATGTCCATTGCTTTGCTGCTTAGAAAAGATAATCGCCAAGTTATGCCCGGGAAGACTTAAGGACACCAAGACCAAAACGTCTGGATGATGCCCGATAACGAGGTGTTTATCCCTTTGAGCCATGCGTAGGTAACTAGCATTATTCTCTGGCACTGCCAGTCTCCCATTTCCCTTCTCAAATTGGCACACAGAGATGATCAAAAAGCCTTGGGATCCTTGACCGTCTTCTATCTCTCACAAAATACACTCCGGAGAAGCACTCTCCCTCATGCTAATACTGAGGACGTAACCCAAAGCCCTGGAGAATCATGTTCAGCCGCCAAACGCCATACAATGCAATATGCGCTATCTTGAAGAGAATTATTGACTGCGCGCGAACCGGAAATAAAGAGCTTCCACGCTGATCACAATGAACGCATCAGGAATCCACCGTAGTACAACCGCGCCGTAGTTATAGGCGGATGTAGAGGTCCAGACAATCAATACGCCACTCCCGCCGGCCCAGGAGGCTGCGCAGCCACTCTAGACCGAGCCCTGTCCATTCAACCTTGGCCCGGGCGATCTGCTCCGAGGCCGCCATGGCAAACGCTTTGGTGGTGGTGTTCAGCATCTCAGCAAGCACTTCGATGTTCGTCGCGTTGACATCATCGATGGCCGTCATGTTGCCAGCTGTCCCCTCAGTACCAGGCAGGTAGATGAAGCTGTTGGTGAAGCGTGGCTCGAACCAGTTGCTGCCGAAATCAAAGAGACAGCGCTCGGACCAATTGCATGATGTAAGGAACAGTACGAGGAGAAGGCACGAGCAGTAGAAGCAGGGTCGGTTCAGGAAATAAGTGCCGACAAAGAAGAGGAATACGAAGGCGGGTGATGCGTTGGCGGGGATAAATAGGAGGGGAAGCCAACTATGTCATGTCAGCGTTTTGAACCTTGGAGCTCTGGTTACGACACGCACCTTCGCAAGCAAAACATGGCGGCGGCCAGATTAGTAGGTGTCGAATTTTCCGTAGGCGACCAACTTGGTCAAGAAGTAAACAAAGCAACGGGTTGTCTGACAAGGAGCAGCGTGCCTTGGTCGAAAATTTGGGGGAGCCGTGTGCCGTATGGGGTTGGTCACGTCAAGTGGCTAATGTGTATGGCGTAGATCGCAGCTCTTTAGGTTGTGTCTCGTGGGCAAGATGGGCACCGGTGTGGGCGGCCAAGGTCGAGTTGGCGATAGGTTCGAGTGGATGTTTGATGGCTTTGCAGCTGGGAGATTCTGCCTATGGGATGTGTTGGACTGCGGTCTGCTGACTAAGATGAACCCTGGACTGATACGTTTTACGATGTAAATTACGGATACCTCAACATGGTGATGTTCAGCATATTGCCGGCTTCCCTTTAGTCCTGCTCTGTTTGAGCACAAACCATTTCGCAAGTAATCATACACTGAGGCTTTTCATTGTTTAAGAAATGAGGCGCGAAGCTGCTGTGCCATGGGCCAAGAGCAGAAGCAGGGTTCAATGAGGACAGATAGCCATGATACCTAACCAGCTGCAAGCCGCGAGTTCCTGTACCAAGCCGTAACGCTCCTCCAGGATTAGTATCAGCACATCGAGGCTCCCAACCTGCCTGACATGCGAATGTGTGGTCTACCATTCCCTCCTTTAGAAGCAGACCTTTCATTTGCCAATATGTTACATGGGTAAGAGATCAAGCAGGGCGTTTTCTGCGTCAGACTGAAGATCTTGCCGGCAGGCGTCAGCAAGAAGCGCGCCGTAGCAGGAATGGCCCGGTTGGAGCGCCATCAGTTTCTTCGGTTTCGCGCGAAATCACGGCTGCATGTCATTGGATCACCGTGTACCCCGCGGCCTGGGACGCGCCACGACTGGCGACACGTGTAAGGCGCTGGCAGGCAGGATGCACGGACCACTTGCTGTCCAGCTGCCTTGCGTACACAGAAGGCTGGCAGGAAGCATCTGCGGTGCAAATTGCAATATTTTCTTCAGTGAAATAACGTAAAGTGCCCCACGAAGACCCAGAATCGCAGTTGCCATTGCCGCATGCTGATGCTGCTGGGATGGCTTGATGCATCAGTGCGACTCCGGCATCCAATAATTTTTGTGATTTCAGCGATTTTTACTGCTTGCTTTTATTCCCGAATGATTTTCGGCGGTCGGCAAACAAACAAAAACGAGTAGACCGTGACGCAAGAAATTCACTTCTTCAGAACCTTGAGCTCTAAAGTTCCGGCCGCGACCGTTTTACTTTACAGTTGGACCTCATCGCCGCAGTTACAGAGCTCGTCGTGCGCAGTTTTTCCGGTCAGAAAGAAAATTAAACAGCAAGAGACAGCAGCCTAACGCATTCCCGCTGTGCCTGCCCAGTGATTCCTGCCCGAGAATTGGTCTCGCGGCAGGATAGACAGAAGGGTGGAAAGCATTGAGTCCAGGTTCAGTCCACGACTCCAGAGGTAGGCAGCTTCCAGCGTCCAACGGGCCCCATCGCTTGGCCATCTGGACCCAATTCTTGGCGGCCTGAGGCCCGGTTGGCCAATTCTCATTTCTCATTCTCCTCTGCGTTTTCATCTTGAAACTCGTTCTTTCTGCTTCAACACCGTACAGCTGCTCATTTCCCGTCAGGTCGGCCGTCATCGCATCTGCCGTCACCATCGCCCTCGATATCGCGCTTGGGGGCCATTCTCTAGGCCCGACAATTTTACTGAGCGCCTGAGCCGCGCGACTCGTTGTTACCGAATCTTCAACTCATCGAACCAAACAGGCCCCGCCATAAAGACAAAACGACAAAAGTCGACGTCCGGTCAGCGTTACCAGCGTCACCATGTCTTCCTACGGCCTGCCTGGCGCTAGCCCCGCCGGCAGCGGCCCTGCGACGGATACTGAGGCGAACCAGGACTTCCAGTCTTTGCTCGCTCAGCTGCGTCGCCAGTCGTCGCCCAGTCCCGGTCCTGGCGGTGGCAGCTCGGGCCCCGGTCCCGACATGCTTCCTCCTCCCCATGGCCAGTACGGCTACAATAATTACGCCGCCCAGCCCTACTATGCGGGTGTGCACCACTCTGGTTCCGACTCGCCGAACGCGCCCAATCCGAGCCATGTGCAGACGTCAATGGACTCGCCCGCTTTCCTGCCCGAGGCCCCGACGCCACCCGTGAGCTACTCGCACTCGCAGTACCCTCCCGGTCTGATGAGCACTATGAATGCCACTCGTGCCGGCCCTCCTGCCCCTAGCGACGACCGCACTGCCCATCTGCTAAATCTGCTTAAGTACAACAGTCAGAATGGTCCGCCCAGCACCTCTCAGCAGGCCTCTCGCGAGCCGCCCCTGCCCTATGCGCCCGCGCCCATCGGCCCACCTCCAGTTATTCACGCTCCCGCTCCCGCAGCAGCTGACCCGACCGGCCTGCTAGCCGCGCTGATGAAAGGAACTCTGCCTGAGACCTCCAAGCCCGAGCCTCCCTCGACGTCTACCTGGAACCAGGGTTCGCCCCCGACCGGCACCCAGCAGTACCTGTTGAACCTGCTCAACCGTCCGAAGCCCAGTCAGCACGGCGATCTCCCCGAGGCCCCCCAGCCGCCCGTTATGGACGAAAAGGATGCTGAAAGCTCCCATGGCGGCCGGTCGGCTGAGCCAACGCTCGTCGACACACTGGCGTCGCGCTCTGAGCTGGATTACGAGCCTAAGAGCTTCGAATCGCCGCCGCCCAAGTTCGACTCGACCCCGCATTCACAGCACTCGCATCCCGTCTCGAAGCCCCCTGTGCCGGCGGTTTTCCCTGGCTTTCAGGACGCCTACGACCATTTGTCAGGCTCGTCGCCCATTCACCGAACGCCCAAGACCTCCACGACACCGAGCGCTGCTGCTGAGACGGCCCATCCTGTCGCCCCTGTGCCTACACAGATCCTCAAGAAGCCGACTTCGGTTCAGCATACGCCCGAGCAGAAGCGCAGCATCGTTGAGACCCCCGAGCATCTTCTGCGTAAGCCCGAGCATTCTGCCTCGCCGGGCTCTCAGGGCATTGCTGCTCCAATTTTTCCTCTGCCGGCTGTGTCTGATGCGTTACCCGTTCAGGAGAAGAAGGAGAGCGTCGCCGATGCGGTTAGTGGTCTTGCTGAGCAGGCTGATCGGGAGGCCAGGGAGGCTTTGGCCCGTGCCGAGTACGAACAGGCCCAGGCTCGCGAGCTGGAGCCGCCCGCTCCGGAAGAAGCCGCTCCTGCGGTACTCTCTCCTCCTATTGCTGGAGATCTGGCCTCCAAGCAGCAAGGTGATGCATTCCTGGCGTCTACTCTTGATGTTGCGGTTGGCGTGAAGGAAGAAAAGGATAGCGGTAACAACGCTGCCGCCCCGGCTGCCCATGGCCCTGTCGCTGACAGCTGGGAGAGCGCCGAGGCCGAAGAGGCCCCGGCGCCCGAGGAGCCACCCGCGCCGGTCACCGTGTACAATTTCCCAATGAAACCTTGGATCTCCATCAGCCTGCAAGAGATCGAGGATACGCGCCCGGTCTTTCGTGAGGAGGCCATCCTCGACATTGCTCGTCTGAAGAAGGACTTTGACCAGATGGATAGGAACCTTGTCTCGGCCTCGGAGACGTACATGGCTTATGGTATGTCCAAAGCAGGCGGTCTGCGTGTCATCCGGCAGGAGGACGGTAAGGACGCCAAACTATTCACTGACACAAAAGACCGCATTTTCAACGTGGCTATCTCCACCTCGGCTGCTCATCAGCACCCTGGTAAGGAGGCCATTATCGGCACTGGTGTCAGCGGCACTGTGTACTGGGTCCAGCTCAAGAACGGCGACCGCGACCATCTCGAGGACCCGCATCCCGAGCAGTACGGCTTTGCCCTGCCCCCCCATCCAGGCTCAGGAGGGCGGTGATGCGCCCGGCGGCGTGCTTAAGACGCGCGCTCGCCCCTCGTCAATGCATCCCGAATACTTTGCCGTCGGCCGCGGCAAGTCGATCAACATCATCTGGCCCTCATTCATTTTTGAGAACAACCTGTTCAAGACGGGCCACGACCGCGTGGTCGATACGGACCGCCTGATGAAGCAGTGCTCGCTCAAGATCAACACGGGTAAGGCCGGCAAGGACTTTACCTTCAGCCAGGACGATACGGTCGTTGTGTCGCTCGACAAGTCCGGTCGCGTTAAGTTTTGGGATGTGCGCGAGCTCACTGCCCCCAAGGAAGACTCTGACTTGCTCAGCCCGCTGCCAGCGCACACCTCGTTCGAGGTCAAGGAGCCGCTTATGACGCTGACGACGACACCCGAGGGCGAGAAGGCCTGGCCCACTTCGGTGCTGCTGCTGGATAAGTTCCGGCCGTACCAGAAGCGTGTTGCCCTTCGCTACATGATCGTCGGCATGAAGCAGAACCACACGCTGCAGCTGTGGGATCTCGCCCTGGGCAAGCCCGTGCAGGAGTTCAACTTCCCGCACAACAAGGAATCAGACGCCGTGTGCAGTGTCATGTACCACGCCGCCTCCAACATGATTGTCGTTGGCCATCCCACGCGCAACTCCATCTACTTCTTGCATCTGTCTGCGCCCAAGTACAACCTTAAGAACATGTCACAGGTTGAGTACATTCAGCGCCTCGTCGCCCAAGACCCGTCCATCCCGCAGCCGGAGTCGACCGCCGTCATCAGCGGCATCCGCGAGTACTCGTTTGCCAATAAGGGTGTGTTGCGCAGCCTCAACATCCTCGAGAACCCTGCGGCCTCGGGCGACGGCGAGGAGCCGACCCTCTTCGAGCTTTACGCCATGCACTCTAAGGGTGTGACGTGTTTATTTATCAAGCAGGCAGAGCTGGGCTGGTCGAGAGAGAATAAGGTTATCTCACCTGCCGACGCGGTCGAGAGCGGTCTTGCTAAGATCTCGAAACTTGTTCCACCGCCTCCTCCACCGCCGGCTGAGACTCAGCACGCCAACGCTCCAACCGAGAGTGCTGCACAGCCTCCACCGCAGATTCGTATTGCCACGCGTAACAAGGACGCTGGACTCAAGATCCCAACCCCTCCGAGCGACGAGAAGACTCCCAAGAGCACTGCTGCCGAGTCGGGCTCGACGCTCAAGACCGATCAGCGCAAGGATAATAACAAGGAGGAGGTCGAGCTGCCCGTTCCTGCGCCTGAAAGAACGGAGAGGAAGGGACGAAAGAAGAAGAGTTCGCAGCAGGCCGCCGCAGCTGTCAGTAATGATCACCCTGGGGCCAATGCGCCGGGTGAAAGTAACAATAATCGCGCTACTCTCCAGAACAACAAAGCGGGCAAGGGCTCTCGCAACATGACCGACAACAATTTGACCGACGCCAAACAACAACAACAACAACAACAACAACAAGCTGCCGCAGATCTCTCCCTCTTGTCCAGCGGTGTTTCCCAAGAGCATCTTGAGAACATCGTCAACAAGATGGAGTCGCGCATCGTCGCTAACATCTCAGGTCGTTTCGATGCGGTCTTTAACGAAATCCTGAAGCAGATGCAGACTTTCCAGGACAGCCGCGACTCGGCCTTTGCCAACAACCAGTCGACTCTCTTGCAGATGGTCGCCGATGTGCTCAATGATAACACCGAGGCCGTGCTCAAGAACCTTATCATCTCACAAATTAACGACCATGTCATCCCGTCGTTGCGTTCCACCATTGACAAGTCGGTTGCCGACCAGCTCGGCGCAAAGACGAGCGCGCAGATCGGAGCCGTCAAGAACGAGGTCTCGCGCAACCTGAACCAGGCTGTCGCCAATGCCATGATGAAGCCTGACGTTGCCAAAACTATCACTGAGCGCATCGTGCACAATCTTGCCATCACTGTCAGTTCCTCTGTCGAGAAGGAGGTCCAAAAGTCGATTAGTACCCTGGCAAGCAATGTGGCCAAGCAGACCGCCCATCTCGTGCACCAACGCATCCTTGAAGATGTCGATGCCCGTATCCGCGAGGCCTTTCAGCACTTCGAAGAGCGGCGGCGCGACGATGATACCCGTCTCGACCGCTTAATGGCTCAGACGCAGGAGCTTGCTGACATCATCTCAACCCTTGCTGCTTCCCAGACGCAGCTTCAGCGCGAGCTGGTCGCCTTGCGCCAGCAAATCAGCGAGCAAGGTCGCGAGCGCGCCGTCCATCTCGCTGCTGAAGAACAGCTTATGCACGGCCATGGTCATCATGCCCGCGGCAGTGCCAGTTCTCATACTATGCCGGGTGCGGGCCGCGAGTTGGTCAGCTATCCTCACTCGACTCAGGCTTCCGTCTCGCACCAGCAAGCTCCTCACGTCTACGCGCATCAGCCGCAGCATCAGTATGGCACTCCTGAGCAGCAGCAGGTCATGTATGGCCCTTCCAGCCGGGAGGAGCGCCAGAAGATGGAGCTCAACAACCTGCTCGATACCATTGACGGCCTGATGCGCTCGGGCAACTACAGTGATGCCATGCTTCGCTGGCTGCAGTCGGGTGACAGGACCGAGGAGATTTTCCAACAAGTGCTCTCCAACTACAACCCCATGTTTGCGCAGGATCTTCCGCCGCTCGTGCTGCTGTCCGTCGGTGCTACTGTCTCCCGGGAGCTGTCACGCGGTGCGCCAAAGTTGACTAAGAAGATCAGCCTGTTGGAAATTATCCTGTACTCATTTAACCAGCATATTGGCAACTTAGTCAGTTCTCGTTTTTATCCCTTCGTGAATACTTCTATCGCTAACTTCTGTGCAGGACGACCAAGTTCGCGATGTCACGCCCAAGATCATGCGGGACCTCAAGTCGCGTATCGAGCAACTCCTCCTCGACATCAGCCGTATTGCGCCGCACGATCCGTCCATCAAGACCCTTTCTGGCCTGAGCCAGCTCGCCAGCCGCATTGCCGAGAGCGTGCAAAGCGTGCAGGTCCGCCATGCTTCGATGCACGGCCCTGTCGGCCATATGGGCGCGTACTAGATCTGATGTCGTGAAGTCTTACAAGGAAGGGGGCTTGGGTGGTCTTCTGAGTTTGGTTCATTGCGGGTGAATCTGTGATACCCATCACCAGGGTGGTTGTTAACTGGGGAAGGGTAGGATGCGGGTAAGGGTATTCCTCCGTACTTGTTTTTTGTCGTCAAGATTTCTTCCCTGCCGTCGTTTTCTTCTGGCATGGATGTGATCATCATGCACACATGCCATGGCCTGGTCCGAGTTCATGGGGTACATGTTGGTCTTTGAACTTGCATCTTGAGATGATAGTTCGGCATCAAGAGAGTGCGATGTGTGGTTGGTCAATTTGTGTACAAATATGCAGTTTACATCTGATGATTTCGGGCATAAGCACGGCAGTCTACGATTCGATCATGGCCTGCCATAATTGGTTCCCTGTTCGACGGTGATGCCAGAGCCTCTATTCAGCGCTAGCCCAATTGTGTGACTGGGCCCAGTTGGTTTCAATGATAACGATGGGCCTTTGAAAAGGTTAATCTTTTTTTAACCGCCGAGCAAGGCCTCCTGGTTCTGCGGTGCGCCTAATGGTGAGCCTGTCGGAAACTCTAGCTTGGCAACGCGGGGTTCATTTCAGCTGGTGAGCCAAGAGGACGGGGCTGGCGGGTGTAAGACTTGAGGGCAGAGAGAGGGTTGGAGTTGTCAGGAAGCAGACGTGCTGACTTGTTGGCAGATTTTCGGGTTTGGGAGTTTACAGTAGGATGGAATCAACGCTCTGCTTCAACGCTTCAACCAGTTACAAAACACCAAGGTCTTGCATTGGGTGCTCTTTTCATCTACAGCGGTCCTGTAGTGGTCCGTCGCAGAGCTGTGCCGCGCCAAGCGGCTACACCGGCCTAAAACAGCAGTTCAGGCTTCAACCACGGAAACAGGGGCAGGCCAGCTGCTGGGGTTTTCGGGGAAAGTGGAGGCCCTCGCTCGAGATGCTGTTTGAAGCAAACAGACAAGACACTGGCAATCCAATGGCAGTCCTCATCCATGAAATGTTGGATTATGCTGCCCAGACCTGGATGATCACAAACCTAGCTAGCAGGTTTACCATAGGACTCAATGTCCCGAGTCATTCTCCAGGCTCTCAGCCTTGCACTGTCTTTCTCAGAGCGTCCAGGGCCTGTCGTAGAGCGGCTCATTGCACAGCTGAGCACATCATTGCACGCTAGCATGCACTCGGGACAAGGGCTTCAAGGGGTGAGTGTGGCTGAGAGAATGCCGCAAAAATCAGCCAGTGAGCCAGAACGGCCTTGTCACACCGAGCGCATGGGTGCCTGGGTGCGCCATGTGTGCTCAGTCCTGTCTTGCGGTCCTGCTCATTTACACTAAGCCAGGGCCAACACAAGGCTGAAGCTGAAGTCTCAGGGCGGGCTGAGCATGGCACGGTATAAGTATTACCCTGAGGCTCGGCCGGCTTTCTTGATTGATTGAACTTCTTACCTCGGGCACTTTCCTTATCTGTTGTCTGCCCTCATTTTCAAGTTCGCGGCTGTCCTGAAACGTCAACAGTCAACACACGTGCCCATCCGCCATGAGAACCACGAACTTCTCAGAAACTTTGTGGAAGTGGAGGTATAAGATAACGCACCTCGGAAAAAATGACGAAAAGACCATCGCAGACTTCTCGAGCTCGTCTGATGTCGACACAGAGATGCCGGTGAAGAGCAGCACTGCAGCCAAAATGGGCAAAACGTCAGCAGACGCCTCGTCCAAGAAGAACGTTGAGATCGGAGCTAACCCCTCCATCAAGACGCTCTATGAAGGACCGGGCAGCCGCGAGGATGCCTACAACTGGGTCGACTACCCGCCCAAGACGGTCACCAAGAGCTTGGCCCGGGCGCATGACCGCGTAGCCATCAAGGTGTACAAGGTCAAGGACCCGGACAAGCCCGTCCTATCTGGTCGCTTCAGCCTGCGGTACTACATGCTGGAAATCCAGAACCCGTTGCTCGTGGCATGCTTGGCTGAAGTCCTCAAGAAGCAGGAAATGCACATTGAGCCGAGTGAGCCCGTCACCTTCAAAGACCCATTTGTTAAGCTGTACTTTGCGTATGACGACTTGGCTGCCAAACACCGCGAGCTGCTTCAGAACGAACCCAACAACTCTCTCGAGCCGTTCTTGCATTTACTGCTTCGTCTGCTGGACGATGTCTTTGCTGACACTCGCGCCAAACTCAAAGCGTTGCGCGCCGACCGTCTCGTATCCTTCCGTCTCGCCTGGGCCTACTTCCCGCGCGGCACGACGGTCATCACGTGGGGCAACAACTGCGAGCTTTTGTGTAAAGTGAAGGAAACGCGGTACACGCGCATGGGCAATTGTGCCGTATTTCTTATCGAAGGCGAGGTGCTGCAGTTTGAGGGGCGGGGCTTCCACTGGGAGCCACATACCATCATAATTGAGTCGTTCAAAGGCAATTTGCCGATTACGGAGCTGGATGCGTATCCGCTGGAGTTTCATGAGGCTGTGGAGGATGTGAGGGCGAGGTTGACGGCTAGAGGGAGAAAGTCGCTGGAGTATTTGGGTTTGACGCATGCTTTCTATCAGGGGCTGGCGCTGCATGTTCGGGGAAATGTCACTGAGAGGCATATTGTGGATGGGAGAGTATTGATTGATGTTATGGGGTACAAGAAACATCATCTGGCTCAGGGATCGCGCGAGGGTAGCCATCCTGTCACGAAGAAGAAGCGCCTCATCGTCTATGACGAGGAAGACGCAGAGAACATTAACGACGAGGAAGAAGAACAGCAGCAGCAGCAACCGGACTCGACCGTCTACGACGCACCGGAGAACAATAGATGGATGAACAACGCAAACACACAGGAGACCGAAACGCAAAAGCCCCCAACGTCAGCGGCCATCAAACGGCTCAATCCGGCGGCCCAGCAGCGCATCAAGGAGCGTATGCTGGAACTGGAGGTCAAGGAGCCACATCTGATGTACATCTCGCCGCTGATTCAGGGCTACGCACTCAAGAACAAGCTGTGGATGCAGTTCTATATCGAGGACATCAAGCCAATGGTGTGGAATGACGAGGCGTACGATCATCTAGTGTACGATGAGCAGCAGAAAGATCTGGTGTTGAGTTTCGTCGAAAGCCATCGCAGCATGGAGAGCAGTCTGCAACAGCAGGCCAAGGCGATGGATGATGTAATTGCTGGAAAGGGTAGGTTTCTATCTCGGTAGGGATCAGAACTCATTGAAACGTTAACACAACACAGGACAAGGTCTGGTCATCCTGCTGAGCGGTCCTCCGGGCACAGGTAAGACACTCATGGCCGAAGCTGTCGCTGACCGCACCCGTCGGCCACTGTTCTACCTGCAGGCCGAGGATCTGGGCGTTTCGCCCGATGTGCTCGCATCCAACCTCAAGAACGTCTTCCAGATGGCAACAGACTGGGACGCTGTGATCCTGTTGGACGAGGCCGACGTTTTCATGGCGGAGCGGCACCCGCAGGATATCCAGCGCAACGAGCTGGTCTCGATCTTCTTGAGGGAGATTGAGTACTTCCGGGGCATCATCTTCCTGACGACAAACCTCTACAGCACGATCGACTCGGCCTTCCGTAGCCGTGTCAGCTTGCATTTGCTGTTCAACTCGCTGACACCCGAGGCGCGCGCTTTGATCTGGCGCAAGTTCTTGGATCGGCTGCCGCCGTCAAAGGGGAAGAAGCCAGCAGTTGAGCCTGAGGAGGAGGCTATTGCTGGAAAGGGTCATGCCGAAGATGACAAGCTGACAGATGAGGATATTCGGGAGCTTGCACTTTGGCAGCTCAATGGCCGCGAGATCAAGACAGCCGTCAAGATGACCAAGACGTGGTGCGACTACAAGGGTTATCCAATGACGCTGACAAGGTTGGAGAATGGCATCAGGGTGACCAGCCCGCATGCGTCCAAGTCTAGTCGCGAGGGCGGCGATACATCGCTTTATGAGGAGTAGGGGTTTTCTTCAGGTCTCATTTCGCCTTTCGGAATATTGTAGTGTTTCAGTCAGATTCAGCGGTGATAGACCGGTTGGATACAACATGCCATGTCTATTTATGTTCAAATATTTCGTGTGTTCATTGACGAGTTACGTTTTTTTCTTTCCAGCCCGCTGACAGCGCTACCGAGCCAGAATCGCGGGGCCCCGCGTGGAAATCTTTTCTGGTGCCCTGTAAATCGCCGCTGCGGAAAAACGCTTTGCCTGGGGCTCACGGAAGCCGGCACAAGAGCCGGGCTCCACAACAGGTCCCGACGTCACCGCTCGGGACAAGAATACCCGATCCGGGGGGCCGATGCAGGACCTGCTCATCTTTTTGATTGTTCAGATCTCGATTTCAATCGACAATTCGATCTTTTAAATTCCTATATCCCAAGTGCAGGTTGCCCTGAATCCTTGAATACCAAAACACCACTGTCTAGAGGTAATACATCCGAATCCCTATACGTCGTCACAATGGCGGGCAACGGGCCGGGTATGCTCTATGTGACAATGCAGCCCCGCGAAGGCCTCTCGCTGGACCAGTTCCACGAGTGGTACAACAACGAGCACGGACCGACACGCCTGCGACTGCCGCACATCTTCACCAACGGCCTACGCTATAGGGCCATCGACGGGGAGCAGCCACACTTCTTGGCTATCTACGACGTCACGAACATGGCTCACTTGCTGACTCCGATCTACACGGACCTGCGCTCTAACCGCACGCCGCGCGAGGCCGCCACCATCGGCCAGGTCGATGTCGACCGCAAGTTCTTTGACCTCGTCGCCACCCAGCAGAGCCCTGATTTCGTGCCGAGCGAGCAGCTGACCGACGAAGAAGCAGTCGGCCGTGTGCTCGTGTCCGTCGAGGTCTCGCTTAAGCCGGGCGTAGAAGGCGCCCAGGAAGCTGTCACCAAGTGGTATGTCGAGGAGCATCTGCCCATGCTGTCCAAGGTCCCCGGCTGGCTGCGCAGCCGCGTTTATCTGACCCCATCGGCTGTCGAGGGTACCGCCAACGATGCGCGCATTGTTACTCTGCACGAGTACACCAAAGAGAACGGGCTGGGCGGCCCTGAGCACAAGGCGTCAATGACCACGTCATGGAGGGACGAGATCTTTTCCAAGTACATCGCCAACAAGGGGCGTCGCGTCTACGAATTGTTCTATGTCTTTGGCCCGGGCCCACGCGAGCTTTATTCTCTTTCGAGATTGCCTGCTTCTGCTGCTTTCTCGACAGCTGATGGTCTCATTCGCACCACTCCTGGAGAGAAGACTGCGGCGATAGACGCCTTCGTCAACACCGTCGATGGCCTGGCCATTCCTTATCGTCTGGAGGGCAACCCGTCCCCCGATGCGCCTACCGTGGCCTTCTCTAACTCCCTCCTCACTTCCCTCAACATGTGGGATCCCCTGGTTGCTATCTTCAAGGAGAAGCGCCCCGATCTGCGCATCCTGCGATACAATACCCGTGGCCGTCACGACGTGCCTACCCCCCCTGTCCCGGCCACAATGGACATGCTGGCCGACGACCTGAACACACTGCTGACGGGTCTGCGCATTCCCAAGCTGCACGCCCTGATCGGTGTGTCTATGGGTGGCGCCACGACGCTAAAGTTCGCGCTCAAGTACCCCCAGCGGCTGGAGCGCTTCATCGCCTGTGACTTCAACGTGGCCTCGAGCGAGGCAAACACTGCGGCTTGGAAGGACCGCATTGCAGTTGCCGAGAGCACCGACGGCGGTATCCGCAAGCTAGCGGGCCTGACGGTCGAGCGCTGGTTCCATCCGCACACCATGGCCAACAAGAAGAGCGTGGCCGACTGGATGACGGATATGGTGGCGACCAACAGCGTGCAGGGCTTCCGGTGGTCGTGCCAGGCGCTGTGGAACTACGACATGCGCGAGGAGATGAAGAAGAACACCATCCCTGGTCTGTTTGTCGTCGGCGAGGGCGATGCCAAGGGCGTGCTGGTCAAGGCCATGGATAGTTTCAAGGGGTTGCTGGGCCCGTCGGGTGCTGAGCTCAAGATTGTACCGCTGGCAGGACATCTGCCCATGTGTGAGGCGCCCGAAGAGTTTTGGGAGGCCATTTCTGGGTTCTTGTGAAGAAGTTTTAGTTAAATCAATAATGAGACTATAGATTTGTTTTGCAATGTATGAGCATCATAAGTTCCTTGTTTGCCATTAATATCAAACCATCTTACCCAGAAGTCTTCTCGAAAAGACAGCTACTAGCGAGAAAAACTCTAATTCGCGTCTCGACAGCATTCAACTCGCGCAGGAGCGTCGCCGCCGCCACAATCTTGGAGCTCTCACTCGTCTTGTTCACCCGTCGGTGCCCTCCGTGCTGCTGTTTGGTCTCGAAACAGCCGACGTACAGACAAGCAATGCAAAACTCGATCGCGTCCAGCTCGCTGGTATAGCCGCTGATGAATGGGCGGCGCATCTCGTCAACGGCCCAGCCAGTGATGCGGTCGAACTCGTCCTTGAGCTTGAGAGAGCCGTCGCGTTGTCGGCGGGTCTGGATGTCGGATCTATTCATGACGAAGCCGACGAAGACCTCGAGCTCTTTGAGAGGCTGGCTCGGGTGGTCTGCGCGATCGATTCGCAGGCCTGTAATGAAGATTTCGCAGCTGGTAACATGAATGTCCGGTCAGCAAGTGAAAGTCTGACGAATGAGAAGAGAAAGAAAAACATCCATCACGAAGCTGTCGCACCTGAGGAAGGCGATACTGCCAGTCGATAGGGCCGATTGCTTGCCATCTCTCCATGACCTTATGCCAAAGTTCTTCTCAGAAGGCTTGCCCGTTATCCTTGTTATTGACAACCATCTTAATATTTTTTTGCCCAGATCTTCTCCTCATCAACAGCCCGATACAAATCACCTAAGTTCTTCTTTGACTTGTAGTACCTCCACCTCGGTGTATCGTCACCTTCCTCGCCAGTCTTATCGTCGTCATCCATGTCGTATTGTTCCAGTTCGATCTCATATTTGTGCAGTATCTTCAGGTTCGACGCTGGCGCAAAGAAATCGGGTCTCCATCGCCTGCACTTGGGCAACTGCGTCATGTCGACTGGCCGGCCCGTCTTGGACAAGTTGACAGCGCTCGACGCCAGTTTGGCAAGTTTCATGCAGTCTGGGTCCCTCGTGCCGAGACGCTTTTAATCAGCGAGAATCTTGTGGCGGGTGGCAATCACGCCAAGATGGTCTTAAAGTCCGCAAAGAAGTTGGCCATGTCGCGAATGGTAATCTCCCCTTCCAGCTCAAGAGGTGGTATGCGCGGGTAGTCGGCCGGCTCGAATGTTTCGAGCTTTGGTTTTGCGTTGAATAAGGCAGGATCCCAGATGACATGGAAGAGATCACCGTCGAGATCACCACCCGAAAGCTGGCTCGGGAGATCGCAGTGTAACGGGTGACTTGGTCTGGTGCAGGCAGGGATCGACAATAGGTCAAATGGGTTAGATGATGGCCACTGACGATGTGGGGTGCACAGAGAAGTTAATTACTACGTGTAACAATCTTGGTCCTCGATGTCCTTGTATTAGGGAGAGGAGGAACCAAGGGAAGTCTATCATGACCGGGCAGCTTCCTTTATAGAATCCTCATCATGCCTCGGCCATATGGCTCATTCTCTTCGGTCATCCGGCTATAGACATCTTCCAGGATCAACCACGTATTTGTGCCGCTCACAATCATTCTGTCTCTGGTGTCCCTTGTGTTAGCAGTCGGGGACATCCCTTTCCTTGGACTGCCGTGTCCATTTGACACGCAGCTACCCCATTTACTAAATAAGACGCAGTTACGCAGCTGACGGAGGGAGTGGCTCGGAGGCGGGACTTGGTTGTAAACAATGCACATCGCCAGGGTGTAACGCTGGGAAGCGAGTGACAATGACATAGCCACTTTGTGGCGGCTCGGCGATGCGCCAGCGGTCGTAGGAGCGCCAGTCAAACATCACATACACTTGGCCCTCCTTGTAAAAAGCCGGTCTTATCCATCACACAGAAGAGTGTCACGCCCTTGGGGACGGGAATACGTGCTTTGTGCTTCAGCAGGCGCAGTTCTTTGAGCAGGATGGCCTCGATAGCGCCGAGCAAAAATGGTTCCCGTCGGTAGTCGAGGCCTATTTGCTCGGTGTAGCGCAGGAACTTGTCGAGCTTGAAGCAGTCACCGGTGTTTTGCTGGCGAATAAAAGTTACTGTGTTGTAGATTGTGGTGGTGATGCTGCGTAATCGATGCACTTCGCGTGACAGCAGGTTCAAGAACCACATGGGGGGGGCACCCATGTCCTCATGGATCTTGATCAGCTGTTAATCCAGGACCATAGGAATGGAATTTTAATTTCGACGCAACATCACAAATCTCGAGCTTCCCATCTTCATTTTGGAACTTGTCAAAGTCGCCCAGGCCCTTGATCACGCGTTCGGCGAAGGGCATCTCTCCGTCCGACGACACAAACGGCACGCACAACCAGACCGAGTGCACCCGTAGTGACAAATGTGAAAAGCCGAGAAGCTTGTACAGCCTGCCAGCGATCGAGATACCCCCTAGTACATTTTTGAGCCGGTCATAAATGGGATCCAATAAGATTTTGGGTTTGAAAAACAAGTCACTGCCGTTCTCGTCACAAAAATGTACCCGTAGAAAGTACGTGTGATGATCAGGGTACTTGCATAGCACACGATTCAGAGGCTCCAAATCCGGCCCGTGCAGAGTGATACGCATGGGCGTCACGGTGACTCGGAAATCACGGGCGCGGTTGGTGGCCATCTCGTCGTCAAACTACCGTGATCGGATCGTTAACCCATTCCGGATTTCCCGCTCGCATTCTAGAAGATAGCTTATAATGGTATCAATTTTGAAGAAACTCGTATCAACGTGTGGCAACGGCCATTCAATTCACATGAAGAGCCGCTCGAATGCCTCGACTAATACGGGCGGACCTGGGTCTCCAGATATGCGCGCCTGGAGGGATTTCTGCACAAGACCGTCGGCCAGCGCAGATATCACGGATGGATGGAGGTAACCGTTCATATATAACGCCTGGAGCAAGAAGTTCGAAGGCAGCGAGTTTCTCGCAGAATGATTCTCCAGCTTCTCTTTGAATTGGTTTCCCGTAATGCTGAACGGTGGCAGCCCGGTCCGGGAGGGATAATACATAGGGAAATTTGAGTGTCCGGCCTGACACAGCTCCTTCTGGCGAATTCGCGCCATCTCATGTTGAAGATCGTTGAGTATCCGTCCATGTCAAATGACCGTTAACGGGAAGCGGTAGATGAGACAATAAGGCGCAACCTCAGCGTGCCCCATCAATGCCAAGAAGACGCCTGCGCTGGGAAGGAACCTATGACTTAGTCCCTTGACTAATACTCAAGTTTCGAATTCCCCGGGTCATCGGGTTGTCGGGCTCTGATGAAATGATGGTCGGGGGCCATTGCAGCGTCACAGAGATATCCGCCAGTGTTAGATCCCCAAACAAGTTCGACGATGCCCTCGTATGGGATGCGCAGTTCGGTAATTTTTTGAGGCATCTTGATGAGATGTCGCTTCCCAAATCGTACCAGCGCTCGCGTAGAGGATATCCACTTGGTCGTGAGGATGAGGTTGCCATCGAGATAGCTGTGATAGCTACAATGCAATTCAGAAGCGTTGAGAGTCATGGCGAGCTCATCAGGGGTTTCAGCTTGCAGGGAGCATTGGTGTGCCGCATACTCAATGCTCTTCAGCTCTAGATCCTTCGGATCCCGATCGCTTTTCTGGCAGTACACAGGCTTGCCTATGATGTGAAGGCGCGCTCATCGTTGCTCTTCGACTGCTTTGTCTGTGGCCCTTTGCCCACCTTCTCTGGGTTGGGAGCGGCGGCTCCGCTGTTGCCTGGAACCAATATCTCGCCATGGACGTTGAGGAAGCGCTGCCCCTGTTCCACATTCAGATAGGTGATGGTGCCATGGGTTCGGTCTCGCTGCTTCTTGGCCAAAAAGTGGATGATAGAGAGTTTTCCAGGAATGGCTGGAACTGTTGTTCCAATCCACGATCCCGAGGTCTGGGGGGAAGTTTCGCAAAGACACCTCCATAACTTATTGTCTGGCTATCTGGCCGACATGTCGAGTATTTAGTGAGAGATCAATCTCTGTGAACATTGAGAGCGGCTGATCATACAAGAGTCCTCATCTGGCTGTCTGTTGGTGCTGCTTAAACCCCACTTGCTGCTTAACAACTAAGATGCCTGAGATGCAGGTTCGCGACTAGCCGAAAGCACTAACGCCTTGGTTCGTGATGTTATATGCATTGAGACCGTTGACACCCAGGCGTGCGGTTTTCTTAGTCGAGCTTTAAGAGACTTAAGAGAGCGAATCCTCTCTGAAGACTTTGTCATATCAAAGAAACAAAAATTTTGAAAGTCTTTTACTAAATTGGATGTACTTAGCCCGTTCGTGATGGGAGCGAAAGACACGATCCTTGATGCCATCCACTCCTACCAATAAAGATGCTATTCAGTGGCGGTTGCATCTGCATGAGGGAGTATAAAGTGCAAGTAAGTAAGCGACAATATATTGACCCATTGATGGGTGGCTGTGCAAATTTCGTGCCGGCAGCCTGCCCATTTGGACAGTTGCCTACTGTGTGATGCCAACAAGCAGTATGGGTGGAGAATATAGTCAATACAGCCCCTCTACAGGAGATTTGGGGGAAAGCCAGAGGGTAACGCTGCGAGTCTTTGCCTATGCTGCAGAGTTGTGAGACGTCAGCGTGGGCTTGGAGCTTGGTTGATGAGAAAGGTGTATATCACATTACGTAGTGCATTTTCACATTTGGCCGAAAACTGACAGGAAAACCACAGTAGCTCAGCTAAGTGTCTTTCAGTTGATGGCCTCATTCCGGCAAAATTGGTACACACAACTCGTGCAGAATGTTTAGGGAAATGGCTCCATATTTTGCATGAAAAGTGAAATGTCCATGCACTAAAGGAATGCAGATTAGGAGGGAATTGTGCAGCTGCCTCAATGGTGGTGTAGATGTCAGCCAGGTGTAAATGTTTACCTTGGCCCTTGCCCCTCTTCTCTCAGATGTTGCCAGGGCGACGTGGAGTAGTTAAGGATAAAGAGAAAAGACAGAATGATCATGAGGTGTAGCATGGAATTCTAGTCAACTCGTCAGGAGCTTGTACCACGGCAGCTTCCAGATCCTTGATCGGCCGGCGAATCTTGGCCCGACGGAGCAGTAAGTGCCCCGCACTTTAGCCAAATCCTTGGGCCGTCCACCTTTGGCTCGGCCCTGCCATTGGCAGATCCACACACCGACCCCGCTCTCCTGCATTGCAGAGTATGGTACGCTGCGTATGGAAGAGGTGGGATGGAAGTGCCGACTGTCGAGCTGTCACGGACGTTGAGGGGCTGTTTCTTTTCCCTTTTTAGCAATAGTTGAGCCGGCCAGGATGCGGCATGCAAAATGGGAAGCAGAGTACATGGACGATGTCCCGTCCCGGCGGCCCCGCTTGAATGTCTGACACTGGGATGGAGATCCATATTCTCCTTCCAGTTCCAACTCACATTTCTCATCGGTGAATCAGCTTGTGATGCTTGTACCACTCTAATCTCTCAGCAGCTATGCCGCCTTTTCGCGCTGAGCACATGGGTTCGCTCCTGCGGCCCCAGTGGCTCATCGACGCCCGCGAGGCCATGGACGCGAGAGGCATCAGTGCCGAGGAAGCCGGCCTGCCGCAGATTGAGGAGGAGGCTGTCCGTGACGTGGTCAAGTTGCAGCGTGACCTGGGCTTCCATGCTGTTACCAGTGGCGAATTCACGCGCGTGCGTTTTTGGGGCTTGATGTGGGAGGAGTTTGACGGCACCACGAAGCTATCCGAGGCCAGCGCCAATCTCTTCCGTCTGTATCATCCAGACGTGGTTAGTCTGATCGAGCCCAACCGCAAGGTTATGCCGGGCGACAGCGTCATCGCCGGGGGAAAGCTCAAGCACAACCCAGAGAGGTCACAGTCGAACTTGCGGGAACTTAAGCTGGTGCAGCAGGCCCTGCCCAAGTCGGAATGGCCCAATATCAAGCTCACCGTCATTACGCCGGCTTGGTTCCATATGCGCTACAAGCAGGGAAAGGCGTACACCGACGTGTATGCCAATGATACTGAGTACTTTACCGACGTCGCCAAGGTCTACCAGGCTGAGCTGGACCAGCTCTACAAGGCCGGTCTGCGCAATATTCAGTTTGACGACCCGGGTCTTGCGTGTAAGTGAAAAGACTCTGGTTTTGCTCAGAACTTGAAGCGTACTGACGCTTAGCGCAGACTTCTGCTCGACAAAGTTCCGCGACGGCTGGGCAGCCGATCCCGACAACATTGGCACAGTGGACGACCTGCTGGACGCCTACATCAATCTGTACAACAATTGTATCAGCAAGCTGCCGGCCGACTGTCACACGGGCGTGCACCTGTGCCGCGGCAACTTCATCGGCGGCCGGCACTTTGCCGAGGGGGGCTACGACATCATTGCCGAAAAGCTCTTCACCAAGCTCAACGTCAACACTTTCTACCTGGAGTACGACACAGAGCGTGCCGGTGGTTTCGAGCCGCTGCGCTACCTGCCCAAGGATAAGCATGTCGTCATCGGCGCCATCAGCACCAAGCTGCGCGAGCTCGAGGACAAGGAGGAAGTCAAGCGGCGCATCTACCAAGCTGCCGACTATATTGCGCAGGGCAGCGGCCAAACACGCGAGGAGGCCTTGCAGCGCATCTCTATCTCGCCACAGTGTGGTTTCAGCACCCATATCTCTGGATATCCTCTGACCGAGGAAGATCAGAGGAAGAAGCTTGCGCTTGTGCGCCAGATTGCCGACGAGATCTGGCCTGGCCAGCCGTGAGTGAGGCTTGGGTTTGGGGTGTGCATCCAATGCGCGTAAAAGGAGTGATTCTGGATATTGACATCCAAAGATGGCAAGACGGGGATGTTGCGCGGACATGTTGTGTACCATCGGGAGATGCTCAGTTGAGCAGGTGGGTGATTATATGGTTTGGAGTTTATTTTGTAGGTTCTGGCATGAAAGTCGAAACCTTCGAATTGGCTGTCAGAAAACAGTAGCAAACGAGGAAAATTGTCCGAAAAGTCTGGTCTCTGAAAGGATCCCTAAGTATTTTTTTTTGGATATTGATGGCTCAATGTAACTATCCGGACAAACTTGTGCTGTGCAGATGCCGAAACTGGAGACATCGAAGCCAAGCCTGAGTTCGTGTCGGCAAATTCCGAGAGAGTTGATCTGATTTATATTTTCGACCGTTTCACCACTGGGGGTGCTTAAGTCGTGCCCACGGCGCTGGCGGGCAAGAGCCACTAAGATATATTAACAGGTGATGCCAGAGGACAAACCCGCGTGGGAGAAAACCGACGTGAAGTATTAAAGCGCTATTATGTCACATGGCTGAGGGGAGGGAGAGTAGTTTTGAGGGGCCCTGTTCGGCCCTCGGGTTCGAAGGGAGTTTGGGGGAAGAGGATGAATGTGGAGAGAGGGAGAGCCGTCACTTGGCAAGGTTCGCAGGTTGCCCCCAGAGTTCGACCTGGGAGACTCTAGATTTAAGAAGTTGGAAGGATGACCAGAAGGCCTTAGGGTCCATCCTTCCCGCCAGTGGGTTGTAAAGGAAACAAGAGGGCAGGGAGAAGTGTCACCTGGAAACCACCGCCCCGCAGGGGCACTTTTTTGATAGCCTCCGGCGGGTGGTTGAAGCGCATATGGTACTCTAAGAAGTCGCCGTGGCCCGAGGCTTCAGCCAACCAGCGCCAGAGGCATTGACGGGAGAACCTCTCAAGGAATGGTTTAGCACTGTGCCTAGCCCAGCAGGCCGAGGGGGGTTGAATTGAATTGAATTGAATTTTATTGTATTGTATTTTCGACCCGTCTCACCCTTGAGGGCGCTTGGTCGTGCTCACGACAGCGGCGGGCAAAAGGTGGCTATGGACTGCCTAAACTACGCTATATACACGCGGGAAAACCCAAAAAGGGAAAAAGAAAACTGGCGTGTTTCTGTGAAGGAATATCATAAATGAATCGGATTGAATTGCATTTCCGACCCGTATCACCCATGATGATGCTCGGTCGTGCCCACGACGCCGGCGGGCTAAAGGTACATATGCACTCGCTAGTCTAAGCTATATACATGCGGAAAATAATCGAGAGGGAAAACCGGTGAGTATCCATGATATAGATAAGTGGTGTTGGAAAAGGGAGAAAACTAGGAAAAAGAAAAGAAAAGGAAATGGGCTAGGAGCGGTGCGTGTGAAATATGTGGATGTCCAGACTAGACCATTCCGCTTCTGATTCTTCGTCGAGAGCTGGGACAACACTGGCGCGGGTGGCATCTACTACCTGGTCTGAGCAGTCATCCTACCGAAGATTGGCAGATACGAGCTGGTGTGGGGTGTGGGAGACGGTTGTCGACGACCTGGACGGATGGGGCGCTCCGTCTTCGTACGACGACCGCTCAGTAAAAGGAATTTGAGCGGATAGACGGGTAATAGGATGGCATTATTGTAATGATTTCTAAAATTTTCAGCTTCACGTCTTCACTATCCTGCTGAGCAGACAAGCCTAGATCAATGCTTAAAGCTTGATTGACTTTCTACGGCTTTGCTATGGTACGGATCTGGCTATACACAACAAAAAAAAGAAGCGAATATGTCCGATAAGAAAATGCACCCAACCTCCTGCTCTTGGCCATGCGAGACGCGTCATTAACTGGATGCCTAGACCTGGTAAGTCGAGCCGATGGGGCCGAAGCGGATGTTGGACCAGATGACCTGGCTAGGGGAGAGTTAGCATTCTCACAAAGAAAGCTGAGGAGGGATTGAAGCTGGACATACGCATTAGGGAATTGGGCTTCGACCTCGGCAGGGACGCCAGAAGTAGGAGCGCAAGGACCACGCTCGGCGCCGGGCTGGCCAGCCTTCTCGGGTGGGTAGACCGAGTCGAGCCAGAGCATGTTGGCGTAATGCTGGGGAGTCGGTCAGTACTCTGCTTTACCTAGAAGAGTGACGAAGCAGGCTTACGTCGTCCCAGATGGACATGACCAGGACCATGGGGATGCGCAGGGCCTCGTTGATGGTGCGGAAGCCGCCCGTCTCCTCGTAGCGGTCGCGGTCGTCGAAGACCTTGAAGAGGTTGGTGCACAGCTCGGGGGTGATGGCGCTGCTGTTGGGCAGGCCGGGCCAGGTCGGCGGCGGGATGTCGATCTTGCGGCCGTCTTGGATGAAGAACTGCGTGAGCTTGTTCTCCTCGAAGCGCGTGACGACAGTAAACTTGCGGCTGGTGTCGACCGTCTTGCCCTTGCCGTAGAAGTCCTTGTTGCCCATGCGGTACGGGTTGTAGTCGCAGCCGTTTGCGTCGCAGAGGCCGCCGAAGCGGTCCTCCGAATATGTACCACCGCAGTTGGAGGTTTCGCAAACGTGGTAGTTGTTGTTGAGGCAACCGTGGGGGGTGAAGGCGAAGGCATAGGCGTTTGACTCCCTGGCCTGGTCAGCTACATTTTTCCCCCCTTGTCTTCTCTGACTCACCAGACGTCGATCTCAGCGCAGCAGGCGCCGTACGGACCAACACCGGCGTTAGCATCGTTGGTCGACGGGCGCCAGCCCTCGATGTTGGCCTTGCCGCCCACGAACTTGAGGTCACGAGCGCATTGGGCATCACAGTACTGGACAAGTCAGCATCCTGAAAGAAAGAAAGAAAGTTCGGGGCACTTACGCCTGTGCCGTACTTGGCGCCGGCCTTGTTGGACGAGTAACTGCGCATGCCGCCGTCCTCCTCCATGGCGACAAAGTACAGGGCGCTGTTGAGACCGCACTCGACCTTGCTCAGGTCGACGTCGAAGGCGAACTCGTTGTTCATCAGCGTGAACATCTGATACTTGTCCGAGCCATTCATGAGGTACACACGCGAGCCGATGTTGGTTCCGTACTCGTGCTTGGTGACGAACTTGAGCGTCAAGGCATCGCCGCTGGTCGAGACACCGTACGTGCTGCCGTAGTTGGCGCCCTCCAGGTAGCACTTCTGCGCGCAGTCGGTCGCCGAGCTGCACGCGCTGGTCCAGCGGTTGCCGTCATAGCAGTTCTGGTAGTTGGAGTCGTGCAGCCAGCGCCAGTTAGCGTCGATGACGATCTCGGCGTTGACTGTTTGGCAGTTGCCGCCTGACGAGCAGCGCTTCCAGCTCAAACGGGGATGAGTCTCGGTCTGCTGAGTGCCGGCCTGCTGGGCAGCAGCCATGTTGACGAGCGGCAGAGCCGCCGCCAGGTACTGGAGGTACTGCTTGATCTGCATTTTGAGTGAGAGGGATGTGAGACCAGAAGATGAACCGTGAGACTCTAGACAAACCGACCGTGTGTGCCTGGTGTGCTCGCTGACTAGACACTCTCGAGGGGTTCCTTTCCCTCTTATACTCTATTCTCTGCCCAGCCCTCATTCATCCTCATCCAGCCACGGAGCACCCCGATCTGGAAAACACGCTGCTCTCTGACCGTTCGTGGAATACGGAGCCGACTTTCCATACCCGCGGGCCCATAACGTCCATATCTTGATATTGACTCGCGGGTGGTTAATCCAAGTTCGTCCGGAGTTCAATGTACGGCGGATCTTGGCCTGGTAGACGGCAGCAGCCAGCGGAGCGAGATAGATTGCCTCAGTGCCCAGTGGGCGGAATCAGGGGTATGCCCATGGCCTGGCTGCTTGTGTGTAGATTGAGCCCTTCTCTTCACGGTTTCCTTCTCGGCACACGGCGCTTTCTCGACGCTTCGTCGATCATCAGCTGCAGCAGACGACAGCGCCGTTTGCTGTAATGCCGTAGCACTTCTCTTTTTTTTCCGGGTCGAATGTGTGAGCAAAATGCGGAGAGCTCTCCCCGCAGCTGCAACGCTGTGTCAACTGTTTACATCGAGATGCGGAAGGCTGGGGGGTTTGGCAATTTAGCAGGTAATTAAAGATATATCACTCTACTGCCCTTCAACATACTGATGCTGATGCCCGGGACGTCAGGACTAGCCGCGTATATGAGCTTCCTGGGCACACTGGCCCCATTGGCCTCCTTGGCCGGTGCCGAGATCTTGGAATGCGGCGCACCGGCAGTTGGGTCCCCTGTTGCGACGCTGGCGACCATTCAGGCTGTGCCCATTCGCCGCCCAGGCCGTGAGGCGCTGCATCCGCTGGCATTTTTCTCGTAATTATCGAGTCCCGGATGCATGTACCGAAGGATCCCGTTTCCCCTGGCTGAGAACCATGGCCTGTCGTTCATTGGCTGTGCGTGCCGCTGTCTGTCCGGGCGCTCCGTGAAACATGGTCGCGAGGCGCCGTTGAATTTATCCCGGGTATTGAGCCGGGCGGAGTCCCCCCCTCCGATTCGTAGATACCCAGCCGGCCAATTTTGGCGGCACAGCGCCCCTCCGCATGTGGAGTGTGGACTTGCTTGTTGATGTTGCTGGATGCTTGCGCAGTCTGACGACTGCTTGCTAGGCTCAGACCTCGCAAGTTCGGAACGTTGAACCGAAGAGAGTGAGATGTCAAGATCGTGTTTACTATATGGATTAAAGATACTATTCGCTCAGGCTCTTGTCTCTAATGTTCTACCAACGGTCTGCATCCTCCAAGACACTTTCTGTTGCCTTTTCACTGAGCATGAATGTGGGCAGCACCGGGAATGGCCCTGGCACCCGAGGAAAGGCGCTGGCATCAACGACACGAAGGCCCCTGACGCCGCGCACTCGGAATTTGGAGTCCAGAACTGCCAGAGGGTCGCTGTCGGCGCCAATGGCACACGTGCTGGTCGGATGATGGCCAAATATCTGCGTCGTGATCCACTCCTTGTCCAAATCATCGTCACAGCTGCCATCAGGAGCTGGCGTCTCAAAACATGGGGGCTCAACAGGCGTCAAAGGGCCCAGGGGCGGCGGCACACTTGCAAACACTCGTCGTGCCCACTTGACAGTGTCGAGCTCTGCCTTGAGATCCAACTCTGCCCCTACATCGTTCTCTTCAAACAGGTGAAAATTGATCTCTGGCGTATCCCTAGGATCTGTGCTCCTGAGTTTGACCGTGCCAGCTCGGCTCTGTGGGTTTATCTTGACCGTAGACAAAGCAAACATCTTGGGCGGATCCAACGGCCTGAGATCAAACGATGGCCAGAAGCCCCTGATGGCAAAGGTGCCTCCGACCAGGAAAAAGTCTCGCTCGTCGTGGGCTGGATAGGCGCTCTTTCGAAAGATGCTGTTCATTGTCGTTCCAGCAGTGTACGGGCCTATGCCTTGCCTCCAGAGATCGACACACGGGTCGTCGGGGGCACCAAAATTGCATGTGGGAGCATTCAGATCAGGTGCTGGTTGTTGAAAGTCCCGCGCTGCATGGCCAATGATTGGTACTTCGTAGTTATCTTGGAGATTCGCTCCCACGCCTGGCAGGTTGGCGACAACCTTGATTTTGAACCTGGCCAGTTCCGGCGCAGGGCCGATTCCTGATAACTTGAGCAGCTGTGGCGAGTTGAACGTGCCGCCAGCCAGGATGACCTCTTTTCGTGCGTATGCCCGGCCAGGCGTGCCCTTATTTGACGACTTCCAGCGTGGATCGGCGCTGTAGAGGCTTTGTCCTCTGAGATACTCGATGCCAATCGCTTTGGGCTTCTTTTTCGGATGGCCCACGTCTTGAAACAGAAGCTTAGTAGCGAGCGTGTTCAGTTGGACTGTGAGCCTGTATTTCTTGTTACCATCGGGCAGAACTGCGTTGGCTGTCTTGAGGACGTAATCGCGGGAGCTGAAGCGCCGCCATCTTGTATCCGCATGCACGGCTAGGCCAAATACTCCCTCTGTTCGATCACGAGCCGGAATCAGAGCGTTTGGATCTGCGATCAGATGTTCAAGAATCTTTTGCTGTTTTTGCCCCAAGTACTCTGATGCCACTCCGAGCACCTTCATCAGATCCTCTTGGCCTTCCCAGGAAGAGGCGTTGCTCATGATCGTGTGCAGATACCCCTCAAAGCCGTGTCCTGGGGTTTCTGCTGAGAGATAGTGGTTCTTTTCTATCCGCGCAAAGATTTCGCGCATATGCGAAGGACTGATCTGTTAGCTTTGCTTAAGAACACGGGACAAGCGGTTATACCTCCAGCTGGCATCCCCTGTGATGTTTGCAATGTACTCCCAGTCACTTTCGCTGGGATACATGGTCGCCATGGCGTTGACTGCTGAACTGCCGCCCAGTGTCCCTCCACGGGGATAGTAGAGACCGAGACACGTCGATCCCGCTGGGGGGTCACGTCCAGCATAAAATGACCCGTCTGGACGGCGCCATATTAGCTGGTTGTGCTGGAGATTTTTAGTGTTATTGGCAAAGTTGCGGACAAAGAAATCCCAGCGCAGAGTCGGATCTGTGTAGGCAAACGGGAAGAAGGAGACGATCTCGGAGTTGACATTCGAGCTTTGGTCGTTTCCGGCCTCAACAAGCAGCACTGAATAGCCCGCTCGAGCCAGATTACTTGCGAGTGGCCCTCCTCCAGGGCCGCTGCCGATCACGATGTAGTCATAATAGTTGCCCCCTGGGCCCCAACGTGGTAGCACGGTCAGACCGGCGAGCCAATATGCAATCTTGACCATTGTGATGCTGTGTTTGTGAGGATTTGCTCTGACTTAAGGCAAGAGATTTAAATTGGTTGAATGGTTGTTTAAGAAGCAAGACTGCATGTTAGACTTTGAATAGAATGGAGCTGATGCTGACGACTTCCCGCTTAGATGCAATGCTTGTTGATGAAAGCACGCGCTCAAAATTTATTGGTTCTGTATGCACAGGTCTGCAACAAATGACACGTCGCGGATGCATGTCAGACCGTCTCGCCCTATAAAAGAGGCCATGGTCATCGCCCCAGTGTGCATGTTGAAAGGCTGAATGCGGATTACAGTACTAAAGCTTGATATAGACATGTTTGGCGAAACACAGAGTATCTCTGCATGCCGGCCGCAAGCGGCGTGCTTAGTGTGTCTACATGCCTCTCGGAGCAGGAGTTGCAGCTCGGCAGTGTTCCGAGAATATTTGTCATGGAACATATCAATTAGCGAGAAAACCTTTTTTTTTCATATCTGTAACTAGCACTCACTAGTACCAAGTGAGGATTTTGAGAACCTGCCTAGCTTTTTGAATAACAGACTCCTTGACTGCTTCTGTTTCCCAAACGAACCAGCCATGCGGATATGGCAGATTATCGACGTCCAAAGCCGATTTGGGTGCTGTGCTTGAGGTTCCTCCGAGAACAACATCTTGAACGGTAGCGTGGTTAGGATTGCTAATGTCTTTGGTGTACAGAGCTCTCACAGTATTTTCAAAAATGCTCTACTAAATTAGAATCTGTGCTGCGTGGCTTGCATTAACGCCGCCCGTCACCTTTGATAGTACGAGTTGAAGAGGTGTCCGGTGCCGAATCCGAACGAAATAGCGCTGTTGACGTCTCGGAAGTGATCGCGGGCAAACGTGATATGAAGCCTGCTTTGAACTTCATCACTGTCCGGACTCCCAACGAGAACTGCGTGAAAATGGTCATAGAAGATATTTGCCGTAACTATGATTTGCTTTGTGGATACTGCTCAAGAGATAGGAAGACCCGGACGAGAGATCACAGTCAACCCAGACACTTCGGGAAGTTTGAACCGAAATGGTATCGCCGTGGGCATCGGAGACCTTGAAGTCTCGTAGGATCACGTTGCGACTTTGGTTCAGCTGAAGAGAGATACCGGAGAGCGCTATGACTGTTAGCCGTGGTCACCAGGAGGCAAATTTGCATACAACTTCCTGGAGCACCCACGATGCTCTTGTTAGACCAATAATGACTCTGGCTTTTCCAGTAATCGGCCCCTGGACGAAACCCCCTGAAGGGGCTGGGGCAAAACACGCAGGTTCGATTCCGCGAAATTTCGACACAGGTGGAAGGGGCTTCCTTTCCCCTGAAAAATTCATCAAGTTTGGGCGTCTCGCTGGACCCCAAGCTCAGCCCTGCGACTCAGGCGGTCGCGAGGGCGTCAGCGACGACTGCGGTGGTAAGGTTCGTCAAGCGCCTGTCTAACACGAGAGTCCGGGATTCCCCCCGCGGCTAACCCCAACATCTTCAATGCAGACATCGCTCCCTCCCTTCTGTACGGCGTGGTCCAACTTGATACTGGCCCATATAGGGCGGGGTTCAACGGCCGCTTGGCCCCATCGAGGCTCGCATCGGTGTGGTCATCTCTCACCAAGGTTGCAAACACAGCACTGGGGATGATATTCCAGGTGTGAACAATACCGACCCCGTGGCTCTGGTGGCTTGCCGGCCTCTGTCCTGAGTACTTGCTAGACAGAGAATGGGTACGGTGAAGGAACCGTATCCTGATGCTACCGGCCAGCCACCCTCTGTGGATTAGGCTCGCCCGACCCCTTACCGCGGCTGGTCCCGCTTGCACCAAGCGGCCTCTGGCCTGAGGGCTAAGCCCAGTGAGATCCAAAACACGCGGGCATCAGGGCGTGGCTTAGCCTTCCTTCCTCTCCTCCTAAAAAAAACGTCGTGTCCCTCCCCCGGACATGCACAGATGGTGGCAGGCCAACAGACCCCCCTCGGCTTGATGGAGCGGACACTCGTCCAAACTCTTCCTCGATAAGTTTTCCCGGCAGTGCCTCCCCAGCTGGCTGGCAGAGGCCTCGGGTCGCGGCGACTTCCTGGAGTACCACACGCGGTTCAATCACTCCCCAGAAGCTAATAAGAGTGCCCCTGCGGTGGTGTGGTGTCCAGAAGCCACTTCTTTTCCTGTCCTCTCGCCTCTTTCATTAACCCACTTACTGGCAGGCTAGACTCAAGGGCTTTTTGGCCTTCCTTCCAGCTGTTTAAGTCCAGGGCCTCCCAGGTCAAACTCTGGGGGCAAGCCTGGGACGCTGCCACAGGGCGCCCTATCCTCTTACCACGCCCCTTCGCCCCCCTCTCGCGAGCCCGCCCCAAGCCCAACGTGCTGATAATTCAGATTCCCAGCCTAACGACCCGGAATAGGTGCTAACGAGGCACATACCTGGGGTCGGCCGGTTTGAAGAACCTTCCCCTGTATATAGTACACTGCACTCCCTCTAACCCAAGCCGAATTTACCCTCTGCGGCTTTTTCCCGGCGTTACCTATATTTAGTTCAAATCAGGTAGCTCCTACCTGCCAGCGTCGTGGACACAACCTAGCACCCTCATGGGTGAACCCAATTGAAAAATTAGAATGAATGAATGAACAGTTCACAGGCGCCGGCGGTGAGTGCGATGTTCGCAGGTGAGGGTTAGGGTTGTGGCTGATTGCGGATACTTCCCTGAAAGGTCTCCTGATCTTCCACCTCTCTCCTGCCAAGACATTTTCGTCATCGTCACCGTCACCGTCCTGCTCTTTCCGACAAGCACAGCAAAACTCGAGGAAAGACTGTGATTGCGGCGCCCATCGGAATAAGCACGGGGAGAGCTTACATGATGAGGGCTGCTGCAGCCAAAAACATACCTGCGCGAGGGCCGATGAAGAGATGAAAAATCGGAATGGTGATGGACTTGGGCGGGGGAAACGCGGAGGCACTGGGCAAGCGAGTTGGCCTGTCACACCACCATGGCGCGATCGCGTGCTAATGTGCCACAGCAGTCGCTCCATACGGCCACCGACATCACCCAACAGCATATTTCAAAGATGATAGGCGAGAGGATATCCGGGGCGTTGGGAACAGAAATGAAAGAGATTAAAGAGGTTCTTCCCAGCATCTGACGAGCACATCACTTCATCAACGCATCAACAATTAGAGAAAAGCTCACTGGACGCTTCATCGCAATTTGATTCTGTCTAAAGCAGCAGTTTCCGCCAACCACAATCAATAACACCAGTCACAATGTCCATGATTGCTGCTTTCCGCCCTACTCTGCGGCTCGCCGCCAATGTTAACAATTCTGTTGCTGTGCCCGCTTCCAAGTATGCGCCACCATCTCGTTTTGTAGAATTGGCGAGAGCTAATATAGCCCAGGTCGGCCGCGAACAAGCTCGTCGGTGGTGTTGTCACTCTTGGTTGTGGTAAGTCGAAGTCCCAGCCTGTTGAGTCTAAGCTGTAAAGCCTAATTCGTGTACTAGTCTCGGCGGTGGTTGGCTACATAGGCTCCCAGCTGAGGAGAGAAAGCAACGTCATGGACCGCATGTTTGAGAAGCAAAACACTCCCGAGGTCATCAGAAGGCGCAACGAGCGGCTCCTCGTTGACACTGAAGGTGACCCGCGCAAGTCTCTTTTCAACATCCTTAACTGGCGCTAAACGACAGCGGGCCTGTCTTTCCCTACGCTTTTTTAAATCATCTAGCAATGGAGTTCGGTTTATGCATTGGGTTTATATGGCGTTTTGGGTATTGCGTTATGATCATAGGTAGAAAAGCATCAGTGCATTGAAGTATTCGTTTGAGATTCTGCTTCACTGCATATTTGGAAGTAGCATTTGACAAGTTATGCGCATGAGTAGAATGCATCAGTTTTGACCTCACTCAAATGGGCGAAATTCTCATCAAGCGACGTCGTACCGATCATGCATCAGCGGTGGGGCAGCAGCAACTATCCTCCTGCCCCAGCCCCACTTAACTTCCCCTCGCCGTACTCAGCCCTATAGCCCTGTCGCTCTCGCTCTCCGCTGACTGCCTCTGCATCGACCCGGCGCCATGAGGCTGTTGCGTACGGACACGCTGACCCTGGTAGAGGTTACCGGCACCATTCCGCCATATGTGATCCTCTCACATACATGGGGCAAGAACGAGGTGTCGTTTGAAGATCTCAACTGCAGAGGGTCAAAGGCTGAGCTGGCGGCTAAGCTGGCAACCTGCAAACCCGACGGATACAAGAAGCTCGAGGGGTGCGCAAAGCGCGCAGCACAAGATGGCTACGAGTACATCTGGGTCGACACGTGCTGGCAGGTCTCCCCTGTAATTGACAAGTTTTTTTTGTTGAGTCCTGACGCCCGCAGCATCGACAAGTCAAGCAGCGCCGAGCTGAGCGAGGCCATCAACTCCATGTATAGTTGGTATCAGGAAGCGTCCATTTGCTATGCGTACATGTCGGATGTGATTCTGCCATCCGATGCAGACAGTTCAAAGGTACCCCTTACACGGCCAGTTTTTCACTCGATCAAGTCCATCCTGTGTGACTACGAAAACCTGCCGCGCACGTTTGAGAACTCGCGGTGGTTCACACGCGGCTACACTGCAAGAGTTAATCGCGCCCCCAATTGTAGAGTTCTATGACCAGAACTGGCGCGAGATTGGCACAAAATTCAGTCTGCGGCACACCATCAGCAAGGTGACCGGCATTGACGTTCGCGTGCTCGAAGGCGCTGACCCTGCCACTTGCAACGTCGCCGAGCGCATGTCATGGGCGGCCAATTGACAGACCACGCGCATTGAGGACGCTGCTTACTGCCTGCTCGGTATCTTCAAGGTGCACATGCCGCTGATCTATGGCGAGGGCAATCGCGCCTTTTACCGTATGCAAAAGGATATCATGAAGACGACTGAAGACTATACTATGCTGGCATGGGGATTGGCGACGAATCTCAGCAACAAGCATAATTACTGGAAGAGCCCGCAGCAACGCAGTTCGTTCGAGTCTCGACGTCCGCTGGCCGACAGCCCGAACGACTTTGCGCCGCATGACCGTTCCCAATGGACCTATGGCCAGCTGATCCAGGATCGAGCAAGGACTGTAGCTGCCCAGCTCTCCTCTGCTCTTGATGATACGCCCCCGCTCATCACCAGCCGTGGTTTGCGCGTGTCCCTCTTGCTGAAACCAGCCCGCAAAGGTCGAGATGCCGTTCTGGCCTACATTAATTGCAATACTGTGCGGCCGGGAGCCCCTCCTGGCACTCCCCGCTCGCCCGTATGCCTGCTCCTCCAGCGTCAAGGGGGTACCAACATCTACATGGGCTCCGACGACCCAAACTACGCTTTCGAGCTGCTAGACAACGACAAGGCACTCGCCTCGTTTGAGCGCCGAACCATCTACCTGTCTCTGGCAAGCAGCGACTCCATGTCCACGCACAATCTGCGGATGCGCAGTCTCGAAAAGCACCTGTACATCCTCGACAAGCCTACTGATCCGCGTTCCATGTGGAAAATCACGAGCTGTTTCTCGCATGCTACCGGCACCGGGCCGGAACACACGCACTACGAGGCGCCAAGGCGTTTCAACTTGGCCACGCTGCACCATCCATTCGATATGGGCCCATCTAGCTGTCGTTTGTTTGCATTTGAGCCGCTCCAGGGACGCGGCGCGTCATTTGGCATCCTCGTCGGTTTCGGCTGGTGCGATGTGGTTGCGCTGGACGAGGCGTTCCGTGACAAATGGGGCATTCTGGTGCGTGACGGGCACTGGAATGAGGCGCTGATGCTTAAGTACTTGAACTATGCTGTAGAGTCAGTCCATAAGAGCGAAGGTCAGACACCAGTGGACCGGGTCGTTAAGACAATCGGCGATTTAAAGGTGTCTGTGTCGCTGAAGAAGATTCGTCGCAATGATATCAACTCGGAAAGTGCAATCAAAATACAGTGGTCTGTCCAGAAGGTGTAGGCGTTGTGTCTAAAGATACCCTGATGGCATTTGTGTGCTTTGGATATGTAGACCGCTGGTTTGGAGCGCATGTAAATCTGCCGACTTTGCACACTGCAGACATCAGCGTATCATTAAATTATCTCGCTATCTAGCTCACGCCAACTAAGCAAAATGGGTATCTATGGTATGGGACACGGGGTTGTTGAAATGACCCTTCGACAGCGACGCCCAAACGCCTCGCGACCATTATACGTTGAAACACAATGCGCGGAAAGGAAACACAAGGAAAGCTGGGTGTTCAGTCCTTCTTTGGCGAGCCGATCGCCTTCTTGATGTCGCCATTGGTGCCGGCAGGCAGGGGCTGTCCAACGTGCTCGGTCGGAGGGCCACGGTAGTTCTTGCGGCCCCAGGCCGTGTACCAGGCCGACGCGATGCAGACAAAGCCGACAAAAACGACCGGCGCGTAGTTGACCGTGACAGCGGTGACAGGGAGGTATGCGGGCATGCAGAACAGCGGCACAGCGAGAATTGACCAGGCTAACAGGTTAGCGAAAGTTGAAAGTATACAAGGGAAAGACTTACCCATAGCGATGCCGTTGCAGAACCAGCCAAGCTTGCCAAGGGAGAACCTAGCGCCCTTGACCTGTTTGCGGCCCTCGATCATAGACACGGCGATGGGAGCTGCGTAAGACACGGTGAGCGAGATAACTCCAACACCGGAGAAAGCGTTGAAGGCCGTAGTCGAGCCAAAGTAGATGACTCCCAGCAAAAGTTGAATAATGGTCGACAGAAGCATGGCGTTAAGGGGAAGGTCAAGCTTGGGATGGACCTTGCTCCACCACTTGGAACCGGGGATGCCGCCGTCCCGAGCGAAAGCCCAGGTGCAGCGGGACGCGGCCGTGCTGCAGGCTGTGCCGCACAGAATGGCCAGCACCATGAGCGGCAGAAGGAGAGCAATGGCAGCGCCGGACGACCCGACAGCTGACTTGATGATGGTCGGTACTGGCTGGCCAGATGGAAGAGCTACGAGCATGGCAAGATCGGGCAGAACAAACATGAGAGGGACCAGGAACAGGAGACCGCCGACCGTGTTGATGATGATGGTGATCACCATGGCCTTGGGCACTTGCGTCGACGGGTGCTGCACCTCCTCGCACATGCTGATAACCATGCCAGTCGACGAGGTCGCGTAGGCGGCGTGCAGCAGACCAACGCAGAACGACCAGCCAGCCGGCCAGCCGGATGACGGCTCGAAACCGCCCAGGGCAAACGACGCGCTGCGACGGCCTCCCTTGGCGACAACCAGGACAGTAATGAGAATGGCAAACAGACCAGTAAAGGTCCAGAAGATCGCAAAGGTCTGCAGCACTGTTAGCGGAGTCTTAAACCAGAGAACATCAAACTTACGTCGAGAATTGGCAGCCAGCGGTTGCCGAACGTCGAAATAGCCGTGCACAGCAGCGTCACGCCGACAAAGGTCAAGAAGATTTGGTAGGTTTCGGCCTCCCAGACGCCGACGCCGGGCTCTTTCTCAAAGACGTTGACGCAGGCGACGAAGAAGAGCGTGGTGCCGAACTGGACAGCCAGGGTAATGGTGATGTTGCCGACGACGTAGGCCCAGCCGCAGATGTAGGCAGCCAGGCGGCGAATGCGCGAGGGAGCAAGCATGAAGGTCTGGTAGTAGACGCCGCCGGCTGTCGGGTAGACCGACGTGATCTCACCCAGCGACGCGGCGACGCAGAGAATGATGAGACTGACCATCAGCCATCCCCAGACCACGACAGCCGGGCCGCCGCCTTGCAGCGGGTAGTAGAGCGTCGTCGCCAGGCCGTACGGGATGGACGCCAACACGAATGACATGAAAGCAACGTGCCACGTCGACCGTGTGCGCACCAGCTCCGCTTTGTAGCCCATGGCCGCCAGCAGCCCATCTGCGTCGTCCGACTCATTGCCGCTGACCTCGGGCAGGCGCACGTCAGGCAAGCTAGCCCGTGTCTCTTCCACGGGAACGGTCATGGCGAATGCGATGTCGATTGCAATGCAATGGCGATGTTGATGGAGTTGGAGGGTTTGTGTTTGTGCTGTGTTGCGTGGGAGGGCTGAGGATCTTTTTTGCATGCAGTCCCCGAGGTTAGCAGCAGTAATCCACTTTTTACGGCCATTACGTACTGATAACAGGACAGCGGTGTCCCACAAGCGGCATGATCCCAAGCAGGAACACTCTTTTTTGTTATCGGCCAACCGGGAATCCTTCTCGCTGTGGGGCCATCCCAACTTTCGGGCCTGCCGCCCTGCCGGGCTCAGCTGGGGTTGCAACGGTCTGAGGTGAGCTCGATCGGACTATGGGGATGGAGCCAAAGATGTGGAGTTGGTGAAAAAGATTCGATTCGACGCGTTTTTGTTGTTGAGATTCCCGCAAGCAATTCATCTTAAAGCAAGAAATTCACTAACAGAGCCGAGGAACTGACGTGCTCTCAGACGACGTCAAAGCTCCCACGCTCAGATGCAGAGCACTAAAGTCGCCTTGTGGGGGATCGTTGAGCGCTCGCGGAATTAATTCATCAGGCAAACAGGCACTCGGAACAAAACAGGTTAGGACGCAGCTACCAAACTGGAGGTTTTAGGAGAGTAAGAGAGCGGAAAGTGGAAGAAGCAGAGATCAAGAGATAATTGATGATTGATATGCATTGTTATCTGCCTCACCGGGACTTGCTTCTAGGTGACATGTAGCCACTCCGACAGCCACCCGCCCGCCTCGATCCGAGAGAACGGGCACCAGCGCCGCCATGCAACGTTGCTTGCGGCCCACCGCCCAACTCACAAGCCGCTTGTCTGTAGAGCCAGAAACCCCATGGCGATCAAGAACTGCCCGGCATAGTACAGCACCCAAACCGCGTGTTGCATCCAGGGCTTGTGCGGCGACGTTGGAGCAACGAGGAATCGGTCGGCGGCGAGAATCGAATCAGAGGCCGTGAACATGAGCGCGCCAGCAACAACGTGGGGGCTGTCGAGTGTGAGCGCCGAGAATGCCATGACGAAGATGGTCAGCGAGTAGACGACGACAGGTGCTCGGAGGGCCTGCCCCAAGCGGGGCAGCAGCAGAGCAACCATAGTTGGCACCAGTAACGCCAAGCTTCCTGCAGCCGCAGCCCGCCATCCACTACTCGTCAGCAGCGCCCAGAAAATGTGGACCTCGGTTTTGCCATGGGTAAAGACGGCGATGTAAAGCAAATGGGCTGCCAAAAAGCTAGCAAGTCCGCGAAAGAACGATGTCTCGTCATCCCAGGCCAAGAAGGCGTCTCCGAGCGAGCCCAGGGCCAGCGCACCAGCCAGCCGAAGCGGTCCTCCCTCGACCATCACCACAGCTGCCAGCAACGCCGTCGAGCAGGTCTTGATTGTCATACGCCACACACTCGGTCGAGAACGAACAAGCGTCGCGTAGAGGACGGCCGCGCCGACTGAGGCGGCCAGCACGGCCGACGACAAGGACAGGGACTGGGACATGACGGTCGTGTGTGATGGTGGGATGATTGGAGACCATGGTCTCGGAGCAGGATCACTGGTGGCTCTTTAATGGGACTCGGCGGCTCCATCGCGCGAAAACGCCTTCATCGCTGCTGGTGACGTGGGGTATGGGGCGCCGAGGCCCTATTTCTTGGCATTCCATGTGATTGAGGCCGCCGACTTGGTCTCGTTCTGAAGAGCAACAGTTAGCCTGAGTTGGACAGAATTTTGAGAATTGAATAGGCCTGGGTCAGAATGATATTGATGACATCTCAATTGCAGTTCGCAGCTAGATTTGGAAGACGTTCAGCGTCATGCGGGGGCTGCTTGATGTAAGGACAAAGAAGCAAGCTCTGGGGTGAGATTTTAGCTTTGCTGATGGTGAGTTGTGAGAAAACCGGCAACCAATTAGCGGCCGCTCAACCACGACCTTGGTATTTTGGCTGTGGAGCCTGCAAACCATCGATGCCTCCGCCACACAACATGATCACTCGGAAAATCGACAGTGATGTCACATGAATATTGGATCAATTCAAGATGGTCTAACTAACGGATATAAGAACACAAATCAGGATCTAGGCGAGATAAAGCAGTATCAATAGAGGTCGGGACTTATGCCGCGTCTTGCAGATCGAATTTGACGAGAAGAGAGCAGGAAGTTTCGTGTCCGCGCAGATCAAGCATGCGGACAAACCGCCAGCCCGGCTGCACGTATAGCAGACGTACCGCAGCCACTGCCAGCACAGGGTTGGCAGACCAACTGTCGTCGCTCTTAATAAGCATCCGTACAAATACAAGCTCATTGTCGTCAAACTCCCACTCCAGCGTTTCGTTCCACACCGGATCAGTGGGCCCGGGCCCGTCGTCGCTCAAGAAGGGTAGGCTGTGCCGCCGGTACACGGCCGTCTTGCGCTTGACCTTGGCCAGCCCACCGTCGTCCCGCGGCTGCAGCAGCGAGCACGTCACGTACGGCCGCAGATCGTTGCTGGAACGGCCGCTCGGTAGGGGCACGTTGCTGGCTCCAGCAACCGTTAGCCGGAGAATGCGTCGTGGTGCATCCTGGCTGAGCACGCCACTGCCGTCCCGACGGAGCGCTGCCGGTTTCAGCACGTAGCCTGGTGTTCCTGCGAATAGAGCGTCATTTAGCTGCATACTCGCCCCAAATGTTTGCCAATTGAGTGCGCAGATCTGTGCCCCGACTCCCCAAAAGGGAATTGGCGAAAGGTTGCGAGACGAGATGCGCATGCCCTTGGGATATACTCGGAGCAGGTGCCGAGCGTTGTGTCGCGAAATTTTGGCCGCGTGGTCCGCCATGTGTGACGACAAGCCCGTTTCGCTGACGTTGATGAGATGGAACGGCGGCCCGTCCTTCGGCTTTCCCTCAACGTACCATGATGTGTCCCGTGGCTTCACGGATTGTGCGTAGACACCAAGCTGTGCAAGCTCTGGTATGATGATCTTGGGTGTCGTCTTTTTTTGGCCTTGTACTCGGCCTTGGCTTTTTTCTGCTCGTCGTCGCTCGAATCGCTCGAGGAGCTGGAGCTGGAACTGGAAGAAGAGCTTGAATCTTTCTCCTCCGGCAGGTGGTACTCGACCATGACGGCAATCTTGCCTCCCAGTTCCTCTAGAGTTACGTGTGTGTCGTCGTTCGGACGAATTGGAGTGCTCAGCAAGCGGTCTTCCCACACTTCGTGCATGATTTCGACCAACCGGCGCTGACCAGCGCTGTCACAGTGATTTTCCAGAGAGACGAGGATTGGTGCCGGGAACATGCCGCCTGCTGCGGCCACTGTAGCTTCCTGGTCGACCACATCGCGAATCACCTCGCACACCGCCCGAAAGGGCACATTGGAAACGAGCGTATACCCGTGAGTTACCTTGGGCTCCATCTTGTTGTCCGGATTATCCCTGAGCTGTCAGCGTGGATCCGGGGAAGTAAATCCTGAACACGTACCAAGCGTCGATCTCAATGCATCGCGCGCCCGCTTTCAACGTCGTCTCGTAGGCCTCTGCTGCAGAGCTTCCGTACAGTTGATGCGCCAGTAAGTACGTATTGTGACTCGAACTGATGAAGTATTCAGGCAGCGGGTGCGACCTGTCTAGCACGCTGGCTGGTGGCGACACAACCGGCCGGTCTAGCAGCGCATTGAGTGCCTCCTCATCTTGCTCGTTGCTCAACAGTCCCTCGTGTGCCAGAAATGATCGTAGCGCCTGGCTCACCCGCAATCGATGATGCGCAATCTCGGTGCTGTGGCCACCTCCCGCTATCGTCTCGGAATCAATTGCCTCCCCACGATCGTCCTCATCATCTTCGCGTGCCTTTGACTTGAATAGGTTGAACGTTGACATAGTGTGACTTGTCGGTGTTGCAAAGTGGAAGTGAGGGGTAAGCGGGGCAGCGGCGTTTGCCAAGCTTGAGGTTCTTGCATGTTGCGTTGCTGACCTAGAGTCTTTATTATTTATAGTTTTCGACCGTTTCACCACTGGGGGGTGCTAAGTCGTGCCCACGGCGCCGGCGGGCAAGAGCTATCTAAGATTTATTAATTACAGGTGACGCCGGAGGAAGAACCCGCATGGGAGAAAAACCGACGTGAAGAATTGAAGGGCTGTAATGTCATATGGTTGTGGGAAGGGAGAGTAGTTCAGGGGAGCTGTGTTCGGCCCTCGAGTTCGGAGGGGGGTTTGGGGGAAGAGGATGAATGTGGAGAGAGGGAGAGCTGCCACTGGCAGGGTTCGCAGGCTGCCCCCAGAGTTCGGCCCGGGAGACTCTGGATTTAAAGAGTTGGAAAGAGGACCAGTAGGCCCTAGGGTCCATCCTTCCCGCGAGTGGGTTGATTCGATTGAATTATTTTTTCGACCCGTCTCACCCTTGAGGGGGATTTCTTGGAACCGACCAATCAGAGGAAGAGCTAGTGGGATAGACCAATCAGGATTGGTTATCCTGAGCAGTCGCTTTCTCAACACCGGCCGTTCGAGCTCCCGTCCCAACCATCAGAAAAGAAAGAAGTTTGTCGATGATCGGTTTGCCGACTTGCTTCTCCAGCGAGCTTTTGAGCTGGTTTTCCACCATAGCGATAGCGCCGACGAGCTTTTCGATGATCGAGATGGTGGTGTTCAGCTCCTTGACCTGATCGTCTCTGGCTCTCTTTAGAGCAGCCAGGACAGCTTTAACACTGCCTTCGTGATTAGCGATTGCGTCGCTGGTGGACGACGCACCCGATGGCGACACCATTTTCGAGTTCCGTCGGCGTGACGATCCAACGGGGCTGTATCTGGAAGATTGGTTCCCGGGAGGGAGACCGGGCCTTCTTTGGCCAGCGTTGCCTGGATGAGAAAGGAGTGAAGCTTCGTGATGATGGGCTTCGCAATTTTCTTCTCCAGATTGTTCTCGAGGTTATGTTCAACGTCTTCGATCGCGCGCAGTAGCTCTCAGCGACGGTGATGACGGCGTTGGCTCTTTTACCTCTCCTCATGGGCCTTTCTGAGGGCGGCCAGGATGCCAGCGCTCGAGGAGGACATCTCGGGGAGGGTCCTCGCAGGCCGTGGTGTTAGGTTATTCTCCAGCTCAGGTTAACCGCTCCTTAATGGTCTATCCCAGCAACGCCTCCTCTGATTGATCGAATCCGAGAA